TTATACTTCCAAAGTGAATTTCACTTATCTTATTAAATGTGAAAGTGAAAATTCCCTTCACAAAGAAAAGGGAAAAGGGATTTTTTTTTTACTTTTCATGTCCAAAGAAAATTAAAAAAACAGGATTTTTGCTTGTGCATGATTGCTAAGTAAAAATTAAATTTGCAAAGAGAAAATTAATTTAGCTTAGTGAATGAGGTGCAGCGGACTTTAGTCATCCCATTACTGGTCATTAAAAATCCTAATCTGGTAATTTTTCTTGCACATGATTGGGTGCTTTTGCTAAGCCAATTTTCACTCCAATTCAGCTTATTCACTAAGATAAGGAAAAATGCACACTGAAAGTGAAAATGCTCTACTCCTACAGTAAATGAACTGCAAAAATACCAGTGTGCATGTCAATACAACAGTTATGTAAAAAAAGATAAATTAGCAGTGAGATCATATCACCATGCCATTCTGCCATCTGATGTCCATGGTTAGCTTTAGGTCATTTCTATGTAAAATCCTTAATTTAACTAAGTTATTAATATTATTATTAATATTATGATGATGATTATTAATATTATTAAGCTCAGCAACATAAAATCTGTGGGGGTTTTTTTAGCAATAATTTTTATTAAGGTTAGCAGCATGAACCAAGACACAAATGCAGTCAAATATAGAAAGAGGATGTAAATCGGAAAAAATATCTCGCCCTGGGAAACAGCATACTCCATCTGTGTTTTTAAGAAATACAACAGTATGCCCTTATTACATTATATTTTTCTGTTTTGCTTCATGTTTTACTACTCAGGTATTCTGTTGCAGAAAAGACAATAAAAGACAGATTTGGATATGTAAGCCAGAATTGCTTGCAGGGCTTAGATTTAACCCATGAATCTTTAGTAAGGATTCCTGGTACCACAGGCGTTAAACCTCTCTGTGAAGATCATCAACACCTATGATATTAAGTATTAACACATTCTATGTGCATCTTGTGATAGCAGCTGGGCAGGTGTTATCCCTCACAAGACTTCACAACACAGCCTAAATAAAGAAGACATTTGTCATTTTTATTTATTTATTAAACATTCTGCATGTTCCAGACTCATCCTTGAAGCTAACACTTTGTTGAGAATTACATTCAACTCATAATATGTGCCAGTGACAAGAGCCACAATAAGTGCAGCATACAAAATACCTTGTTGTACAGTTTGCAGATAACAATGAATCATAAAAACAGCTACAAGGTCCAAAACTGACATTTCCTGTTATTTGGAATCTTCCACAGAGACAGAACACTGAATTTGCTATGTTTCAGCATTTGATATTCCGGTGTACATTCCAGCAGAATGATTGTTTTTAAATGATGGAACAGTACACCTGAAGACATTCACTGTACCTATATGCTTGAGAGTGGATTGGGATCAGTGATTTTTGTGGCTTTTAATATACGACAGAGTAAAAAAAAAGAATTTAACAGTGTTGCATAGGATTTCAAAATAATATTTGTGCACACATCATACCTCTTTCGAAGATTTACTGCTTGTGATGCAATTAAATATTGTTTACATTTATAATTGAAAAGTCACAGTTCCTTAGGTATATCTATAGTCAATTTTTTTTTCAGTTTTGGATAAAAAGGTAAATTTTGAAATCCCTTATCTGTGAGAGGAACTCACTCCAAAGTTAGGTAGCAGTTGAATCAAGAACAGATATCCCCATGGGAACATTTTTTCCTCATCCCCTGTTCCAGTTACATTTGTAAAATGTTGGATTTCACATCACTTTATCTGCCATTGACAATGGTTATAATCTTACCCTTCTATCAAACACGTAAAAAAAGTTTTGGATGTATATAAACTTTACTACGTTAGGTTTTGTGTGGCCTGCTCTTCTTTTATTTCTCAATACTTATTGACAGTAAAGTCACATTCAAGTGCTTTGTAAAATATTGCAAAACAAAGCCAAAAAGCAGTGTAACTGCTCTTATACAATGTTTACATACACTAGAAGAAATGTAAAACTATCGGAAAGATATTATATTTGGAGGGTAGATGTATGACTCCTATAATGCATTGCTTCTATTTGGATAGTAGTATTTTTATATATATAGTAGTATTAGTATATAGTATAGATAGTAGTATTATAATATAGTATTATAATTTAAAGCTGGTGTCATCAGCCATGCACATTACTTTTTCTTCAATCCCTATAAAACTTCTATATGAAAAACAATATGTTTATATTATTCAGTATACAAATGTCTTACTATATAGCTTCTGTGTTGTCATATTTGCAGTCTTTTATAAAAACCAATAGGTAGAACTAGAGTATGATGAGGAAGAGGAAATGTTGCATGAAACTTACCAATAACTTAGATGATGGCTGGGTTTAGTTGTTTTCATTTTGGCAGACACCTGGTCAGTGCTTCAAGTGACACTAAACTCAGGAGTTAAATCTTAAAAATGCATTGAAGTACCCTAACTATTAACAAAAATGTAGCTTATTTGTATCACTTGGCTGTAGATCCTCAAATCATCTCTGAATTGGTGATGATACTGGCCTTCCTTCTGGAGGGTGGCTACTTTTGTTCCCCATGGTCCCTGTGTGTGTTGTAAAGTAGTCACCGCTCCAAGCTTACCCCTGTGATAGACTACAATCTCACATTTAGTTTACTATTTTGTATTGAGTTTGTAGTCCATCGCGGGAGTGAGCTTGGAGCGGTGGCTACTTTACAACACACACATGGACCAACACACACACAAGGGGGATTTACAGCCGAGTGATACACACATACGATAAATTTGTGTTAATGGTTAAGGTACTTGAATGCTTTTTTTAAGATTTAAGTCCTGAGTTTAGTGTCATTGCAGTTTAAATTCACAGTGAATAGGACTTCTATGGCTCTTTAAATTGCATCACTGATCTATAGAGTGGTACAAACAGTTTCTCATTTTTTATATTTTGTATAAAAATGATTGGTTTACAATAAACTAAAACTTCAGAGTCATAGCTACATGTACATTAAATTTATGATAAACATTAAACTGGAAATTAAGTTAAACCTGTGGTATAATGGGAAATTCCACATTGATGTTTCCAAACGCTAAAGCTTCCAAAAGACTTCTACTTTCTGTTAAACATTTTGGAATGTTCAAGCTAACAATCAATCTCTGAGGAGCATATGTGTCTATGGGAATGACTATCAAGAGGGAATGATGGCCTGTTGTCTAAAAGTGACAATGCATCCAAAGTCTTTTCCTTTACAGGTTTGTCGATGATATCTTAAGGAGGAATTTTACCCACTGATTTTCTGTCTCCCAAAACAGTTACTTTTAAGGCATGTCAACTGTCAAGGTTGCCAGTGTGCTTATTTCAGCTCTCAGACAAACATTTAAGCCCTTAAATGGCTGGTGTAATAGCTGATCACATGTTCAGCACCATGGCAACTGCAATCCAAAATATGGGAACCTTCCTTGGCTGTAAGGGATAGGAAGGTGTCCTCTTTAAGTACTTCAAACACATGCTATGTATTGCAGGTAAAAGTAAAAAAAATAATTGTCTATTAGAATGTTTTAATATTAAGGGGGGGGGGGGGCAGTTTTTTTTACATTTTTGCCAGCACATTTTGAAGGTTCTATAACAGGCCTTCAGAGAGCAAGTGCTCACAGTTCATACTATTTTCAGCTTATACTTTTGTGTAAATGTATAATTCATGTAAAAAATGTAACCAGTTAGGTTATAACTTTAAGGACAAAAAGTTTTCTTTAGCTCTTGGCGCTAATGGCTGCCAGCTGGACAATCCACTTGCTGTTGCTCACTCAAAGTTTTCAACAGTTTATCACAGTTTTTTTACACAGACTTGAGGGGCTGCTCATCCAAGGCTCTGGGGCTTCCACCACGAACATAGAAAACAAAAGGGAACAGAGCGCCACCTCCGTGTGTAAAATCGTTTATTACAATAAATAAAACAAGGGATAAAAGTACTCACAAACAAACGTTTTCATCAGGCTTTAACAACAAACGAGAGGCCACACTGTCTGTTGACCCAACATGGTATCCCCACGACTATGTAACACGGTAGTATCCGGTCACATCACCGTCCACCGACCGCAGTCAACCAAGATTGACGCGTTTCTGGGGCAAGCCCCCTTCCTCAGAATCATGATGATTCTGAGGAACACGGTAGTATCCGGTCACATCACCGACCGCAGTCAGCCAAGATTGACGCGTTTCAGTGGCAAGTCCCCTTCCTCAGAATCATCATGATTCTGAGGAAGGGGGCTTGCCCCTGAAACGCGTCAATCTTGGCTGACTGCGGTCGGTGGACGGTGATGTGACCGGATCATGATTCTGAGGAAGGGGGCTTGCCCCTGAAACGCGTCAATCTTGGCTGACTGCGGTCGGTGGACGGTGATGTGACCGGATACTACCGTGTTACATAGTCGGGGGGATACCATGTTGGGTCAACAGACAGTGTGGCCTCTCGTTTGTTGTTAAAGCCTGATGAAAACGTTTGTTTGTGAGTACTTTTATCCCTTGTTTTATTTATTGTAATAAACTATTTTACACACGGAGGTGGCGCTCTGTTCCCTTTTGTTTTCTATAACTTTAAGGAGTTCAGACAATGCACCATCTTCTGTTATATGCAAGCCATGTATTCACTTTATCCTATGTACATAATAAAATATATTCCCCTTTTTCATACAAGTAGATATTATGATGATGGTGATGATCATTATTATTAATATTATTAAGAGAACACACCCATAAGGATGTAGGGCATGGAGGAGGTAAACACAGTGTATGACAGGGGGTACAGTCATATAACACTCCCTAAAGTGTAGCATGCCCTTGAGTCTTATATTGCCTGCAGACTAATGCAACTACCAAGCCTTTAAAATCTGGGGTAATATTTGTATAGAATTTGTTGTCATATTGTGAGCAAAATAGGAGTACAATTGTAGTGAAAAAGTGATGAAAAAAAACTATAACCCATTTTTGTTATGAAATAGCTACATGTTGGCTGCACTAAGGATTTCAACAGTGAAGCACCAGTCCTTCTCCAGTACTCCCATGATGCTGGTTTGTCTTGGTCATTGGTGAGAGAAGGATGTTATCCTGCATCTCCAGGAATCAAAGACTGCAAAGGAAGCGCTAAAGAGTTGAGTGAACCAACTGCTTACTACCCTGGAGACTATGAGGAATGGACTAGAATAACAATTGTAATACCAAGAACACTAGCTTCAAGGTAGGTTGCCTATTTGTATAATGTTCTTCCCTCCAGCTTTAAATGGTTGTTTAATTTGCTTCTGCCCTGCTTAAAATGATAGCTAGATCCAAACACATGAGAATTAAAGTAGGCTTGTCACAATTCTGGGCAATTTCGCCTGAGCGTATGATGAAACATGCATACGCTACATGTGAAAATGGACAGCAGATCTAGGCATAAAAACGGTTAACTTTATATTTAAATTTCAACTTTTAAAAGTTGTGGTTGGACCCATCTCCCACGCTTCCTGAGCCTCTTTATAAGGTAGGGTAACTACCTAGGGTAACTTTGAAGGCTCATTAGGGAGGCTTGGGAGGCCTTCCCAATACAACCCCATCTCCAACGACCCTAAACTGACTGATTCCCACCCATCACAACACAAGCAGTGCTCAGATTTGTCAGTTTGCTTGCAAAGACTGGGCCCTGTAGATACTATAAAACTATACTGTACACAACACAAGGAACCTTGTTGTAAGCATTTCTTTTTTTTAGCAGAACTACTACTGATTTTATTGCCTTTAATTTTTTGGGTGCAGCATATATATCTATGTTGTTGAAACTAATCTGGTAGACAACTCATCTTATTATTAGCTGTGTATGAGCTCTGCACAGCTTTTATTAAGTTTCCCATTTTGCACTATACGTACTTTGGCATATAGGAGTGGCAGATTTTATTTTTGACACACTCCTCTATACGTCAAAATTATTTCCAGTAGTAATAATGAAAAAAAATAATACTAATAATGGGCAGAAAAAGATGGAAACAGTAAATATTTTTGGAATGTTTTATATATAATTATGCTGGGAAAAATTAAATGTAAAGTTTATTAGAGGCGCGCATAGTGTGTTGCCACAGAAAAAGGGCAAATTATCTGCGTGCAAGTTTTTAATAGCAGAACAACATGGGGATAATAATGGCATGCTAAATAAAATTCAAGAATTTAATAGTGGCATATGTAGTGTACCATGGTGAAACATAAGAATAATAGCAGCTTGCTTGATAGTGACCGGCCTACAGGGAGACTTAATTATAGTAATATTATCCTTTTAAACAGTGCTGACTTCACAATACATGGGCAAAAATGTCAATCCAGACAATACATGGGCCTCAAATGAACCACTGTATACAATACACAGGCAACAATCAGTCAACTTTTACAATATGCAGGCAGCAAACTGGCAATCATTACAATACACGGGCAGAAAACAGCCAATTGTGACGGCATGGGGGCACCAAATAGACAAATTTGACAATATGCAGGCAACAAATGGGCAATTGTGACTATGAAGGGGCAACAGACAGGCAATCATGCCAATATATAAGCAATTGTGACAATATGCGGACAACAAATGGGCAATTGTAACAATATATGGCCACAAATTAATCTGCCCTCTTCACTCTCATGAAAAATCACCCCCCTTCCCAGAAAACCCTGCTCCAGCCAAAAAAACCCTCCCCCAGCAAAAACTCCCTACCAGCAAAAATTCCCCTCACCCCAGCAAATCTTCTCTTTTCCCTGGCAAAACCTCCCTTCTTCGGCCCCCACCAACAAAATATTATTCCCCTAGCAAACTCGCCTTCCCCAACAAATCCCATCCCAGCAAACCCCTTCCTTCTATGAAAACACTTACCAGACCTCAGACACAAGGACGTATGGCAGAGTGAAGAAAGTTTTCCTCAGACTGTGTCATTTGACACATAGGAGCCATGGAGGAGCTTAGGAGACCATTCCTTGGCTATGTGCCACCTCTGTATCTGGGGTCTGACATAGCTGCTAGGGATTGTACTGCAGAAATGCAGGTAATGCAGCAGTGTGTATCCAGCAGGGGTCCCAGAGCACCCCCAGCATGGCTGTACCCTGGGTGGACTGCTCCCCCGACCCCGTATCCCTTTGCTTTTGATTTCCTACACCTATCTTAATTTAATTTGTATCAAGGAGAATTCTGTTCATGCATTTTTAGCAGTGAGTCTTGCATTTGCACTTAGAATGTGATGCATTCTAAATGAAAACATCCACCCTTTATACAGTGAAAATGTCCCCCATGCCCTGCAAACTAGGTGAAATCTTGGGTAAAATGATGTGATTTAACAACAACAAATAAACACCTTTACAGATCTTTAACACATTGCCATCTGCTGGTATATGACTCCAGCATGTCCTGATGGTTACTAATTATTACTGTGCAAATCACAAACTGACTCCTGAATATGAAAAAGTATGTCAGTGGCAGTCCCTGGTGATTAGGGTCAAGGTGCAATAAGGTTATAAATACAGTATACCGGTAAGCTTTCTTGGCTATGGTTCAGAAATAACATATTTTTTTAGCTCTGTAATAATCACTTCTGGGACTTCGAGCTAGTTGTCCTTTCCCAGATACTGTGTACTTGGACCGACATGTTTCCAGATGGCAAGAAAGCTCTGCACAGCAAGGACATACTGTTTAAATCCCCTCTCTTTCCCCTGGAAAAGAGAGCAAGTGATTGACTGGCGTGTACAATTCATCTCAGCTTGCCATCATGTCCACCGCTCCTCAGCAGCTTGTTTGCAGAGTCATATGTTGAAAGTCACAGCAGCCATTAAGAAGTAGTAAATGTGGTAGAATGACAGTTCATGTTGATGACACTAAACAAACAAAATGAAATGAAAATAAATGATGCTACTGAGCTCCACATACATTCCTTTTATTAACATATTTTACTGTTTTGAGGAGGATTAGGCATAGAAAGCTGAGTACACACACGATGAATAAAATGCCCCGCACCTGACAGGGGTATGAGTAATACCATGTACATGCACAGCCATCATTTTTACGTGGCTAAATTGCCTCCTGGAGTTTTCTGAATGTGCTCAGCTAGCCAGGGTTATTATTTATGAACGTATGTACCTAAAATATATTTACCGTATACTGTGCTGCATATTAAATAATGGAGCACCTGTGAAATAATAAACAAATCAAAGGGATACCATGATAAACTATATAAAGGAGGCTATGTGGATGCCTGTACAGGAATAAACATGGTACAAATGGATATCTTTTCCAGAAGGATGGCAATTGTGCCTCAATAGTAGCGGGTATGCAGTTGTTCATTATAGATAACGCAGTTCAGTAAGATTGCAGGAAGCAATACACAAGGAAGGGAATTTATCAAACCCAGAGCAGTCAGAATCTGGAGGAGGTTCCCATAGTAACCAATCAGCTTCTCTTAGTGTGTTCAGTTAAGCTTTGAAAATGAAAGATAGAAGCTGATTGGTTACCATGACTAACTGCTCCAGATTCTGTCTGTCCTGTTTTGATAAATTCTCATTGAGATGGCTAATTTGAATGATGCTCAGGTTCTTTGAGTGTATGCAGCTATAAAAGATAGGATATGAACCTCTTAGATAACCTCAGCACTGCGGGTTTGATGATAGAAGCTTCACTGTTCAATGTTATACATATACTACCGTCCTCCCGTGACCCAAAGCTCAGTATATAGCGGGCTTTTGCCCGCTATATACTGAGAGTGCCACAGCCAGGATGGATCCAGTGCCACAGCCACAGCTGGCTCTGTCCAGAGGCAGAGCCAGCTGTGCCCGCCCCCTCCCCATCCGTTCGTCCAGTCAGCACTGGAGGATCGGAGAGGGGAGGAGGGGAATACTTGTGGGGACTGGTGACTTACAGTCACCGCTCTCTGCAGGGAGATGGTCGGGAAGTGAGCGAACGACGGTATGTGTTTGCTCACTTCCCAATCAATAGAGCCGACCTGTGACAATTTCCATTGTCACAGGTCGGCTCTAACTATTATTATTATTACATAGTATTTATATAGCGCCAACAGTTTGCGCGGCGCTTTACAATATAAGGAAGACATTACAATCACAATACAATTCAAGACAAGATGGTAAGGAGGGCCCTGCCCCTGGGGGTTTACAATCTAAAAGGGGAGGGGGAAGTGATACATGAGGAGGTAGGTGTGTGGGGTTGAATTGTTTGAGAATGTGACGGTTCAGTGGTTAGGTTGAGGTGGGATAGGTTTCCCTGAAGAGATGAGTCTTTAGGGAACGCCTAAAGGCAGTCAAGGTGGGAGACTGACGGACAGGATGGGGTAAATAGTTCCAGAGGATGGGAGAGACTCTAGAGAAGTCCTGGAGGCGAGTATAGGAGGAGTTGGCGAGGGAGCTGGAAAGCAGGAGGTCTTGGGAAGATCGGAGGGGACGGTTAGGGTGATATTTTGAGATAAGGTTTGGGATGTATCTGGGGGCAGAGTTGTGGATGGCTTTATAAACTCTGATGATGTAAATCACTCACCTTGTAGTTCTCCTTTAAGTGCTTGTTTTGTCATTGGGACTATTAAAGCTGTTTTTACTTACCTGATCCTTGGTCCTGCTAACTCCCTCCAGGCTGCTAGATCGGTCCCTCTACTCCCCTGGGCTCCAGTGGTCTAAGGAATGCTGACGTCATCATGTCTTATGCAAGTCCATTAGCCTGCATTAGACATGAGGATCCCGACGGACATTCCAACATCAGGAGTGGAGTGGGATTGAGGTGAGTGCTGACCATTGCGGTAGCTCTGGGATCAGGTAATTAAAACTGCTTTTTGTTAGCCCCTAGACAAAATCAGCACTTAAGCCTTGCAGTGCAGGGTAGCCCAACTCCATTGGTCATTTTTTTATTTTCCCGAAGTTTGAATAACACTTGTACTGAGAAATATCAGGAGCCTTGCTGATGGAAATTCAAGCTGCTGGTCTGGATCAAGCATGTAGATTTGAAAGCTATAGTAACATTAAAATGTTGTAAAGCATTGACAAAAAATAATTAAGTATTTGGATTGGCATGGCTGCCAGGCAACTTGGAGAAGCAGAGGTCAGTCATGGCAGCCTACATATATTTTTTAAAGCAGGTTTCACTTAAATAAAAAAAATGGTCTGTGTGTAGGATAATAAAAACAGGGTAGCTATGTTTTACCTGCTTTTTTTTTATCCCTGAGATGTATCCATTTGTGATAATATTGTACAGTCTGACGGGACCATCGAGCATTATTATTTTTTTATGAACAACCCAGACTCAGTCTCCGGGCACACACATTTTAACATAGGCTGATACATCTTACAGACATTCATAGACCAAAACTTTTTGTGAGCCACATGTATAAGGTTATCTGGAGAACCATCACTCTTGTTAGCCATAGCAAATACCTGCCATTATCCGGGACAGTATAGTTGATTGTAATGGACAACCTTTTAGGAAGGTTGCCTTTCCACAACAAACAATTCTCCTACTGTAGAGGTCTTTTTTATTTGTAATGGCTTATGAGCTTGAATTACAGCAAAAATATGGTTGTTCCATATAACAGGAACACTGAGCACAGTGGAAGGTGCTACTATGGAAGGTGCTGTATTCTTTTTTTGGTATATCCAATGCCAAGCAAAGTAGTATATTACCCTTTAAAGGCCACCTTTTAGAAAAAAATAAGGAATGCACACTTGTTCATAAAAGAAAAAAATTGCATTTATTATTTTTTTGCATTGGAAGCAGTGAAGCATTGTAACCGCCAAGAGTGGATCACGGGTGCAGTGTTCTGGCTCCTGCGAATTCTTCCTCCCGTCCATGTCTGTACCAAGGTGTGAACATTCAGTAAGGAAGAGGAAGAATGAATGGATTACAAGTGCAGTGACATCTCCGCACTTGTATTCCATTAAGTTAAGTTACTCCATTAAGTTACTCTCCTCCACTATTAATGGCCCCAGGCGCTCATAAAACTACTGGAATTCTTCCATTTCATGTACAAGTGAAAACGCTCTGAGTGACTTTAACAAATCGGCTAAAGTCATACTACCACGAGTCTATACGTGCCTATAATGTTATTATCCTCTATTCGATCCATCCATCCCAGTATGCTTGTGCATATAACATATGATTAAGCCACGATTGGCTGATTTGAGAGCGTATCCAGCGCCTTCTACCTCCACTTATGGCAATTCCCCCCCTATGATGCCCTGGGATGTCTTTATTTTGCACTGTAATCTACCGTATAGAGTCGTTATTCTTGAAAAATGTTTTTCATATCTTTGTTTTGTATTTTTGTTTTGTATTGTCTTGTTTCTGTAACATTTAAAAACCGAAAACTAAAGACAAGAGTTTTGTCTAATAAACTTTTAATCTTTAAAAAAAGAACCACAAGTCACAGTGGCTAATGGGACTTATAGCTTCTCCATTAACAGATGTTTCCAGGGATTTCACCAGCCGGTGGGGAGAAGAATCCCACGATTCAGGTGGGGCGAGATTGGGGTGGGAGGGTTGTGATGTGACCATTTTTATGTTGCACCCTAAATATGAATGTAACATGAAACATGGTCCAAAAGGTTAAATTAACCTTTAACTTTTCCATTATTCCAAACTTGTTTGTGATTTGTACACACAAATATGCTTATATACAATATTTTGTGTTTTATTTTAGTAAGACCAGATTTCGCTGGATACAGGAGAGGAGCTCACAGAAAAATGTTCCGGCTTTTGGCCTGGATGGTGTCTACATATCTGAACCTTGTCCCAACTACTGTAATGGTCATGGTGACTGTGTTTCTGGAGTTTGTTTCTGTGACAGAGGATTCACAGGTAAACATTTTATTTATGGATGTATAGCAATATATAATGAAAAGTGTAACAAGGGAAAAGTTACAATCTATCCTATTGGCATGATTTCCTAAAGGAGGGGTTTTTTTCACTTAACTTTATTGTTAACTTTATAGCAAAGAGGATGTGACAGGTCCTCTTTATAGAGACCCCTAATGTCACCTAGGGACCCCCAAAGAAGCTGATGGAGCAGAGATCTGCTTCATCAGCTTCTGAAGCTGGAGAGTGAAACAAGAATGCGGAATTGATGTAATATACATCACTTCCGCATTCTGAGAGCGGAAAGGGGACCGGAGGGAGATCGTGTACTGATCTCCCTCTGATCCTGTCAGAGAGCCACCATGCTGGTCCCGGGCTCGCACCGGCACAGCGGAGCCCAGGACCAGCGGGAGGGGGGAGCCGCGGAGGGGGCGCACTTACCGGCACCTCATACAAGCAATCCGCCGGCTCTATAGGCAGCGGATCGCTTGTATGTAAACAGGCTTCACTGCCTGTTTTTAAATTTTGCCACTTTCCCGCACACGCTTGCTCAGATCCAGAGAGCTCCCGGACGATTTTTTTCAACAGCATGCAAGTCCCCCGCCCCCTTGAGCGTGCATGCTTTCACGTAAACAAATGTCGGATGCGCCTACGTGTGAAAACAATGATGGTGCTACTCATGTTTGGTATCAGGGTGAGAGCAATAATTCTAGGGACAATATTTACGCATATCTTTAAACTGATGAACTGCAGGGGCTTTTAAAACGTCACCTATGGACAATTTGGGGCACAGAATTTTGTCGCAATTTCACGAACTTACACAATTTTTAACCTGGGCAAGTTGGGTATCTATTTACTCGTTGTAACGTCATTGTTTATATTTTACAAAAGAATATTGTGTTTTGGGGCACTAAAATTAACTTAAGTGCATTTTTTACTAATTGTTTGTGTTTGATAAAGTGTTGCACCAATATCGTGCAACGTACAAATTTGCAACTGCCACTATTTTATTTTACAGGGTCTTTGCTTTCAGAACATATATAATGTTTTGGGATTTTAAGTAATTTTCAGGCCTTAAATTAGTATTATAATATGTGTGCAAAAATCGCAAAAAAGGCCTTGGCAGCAAAAGGGTTAAAGAGCACTCCAGGCACAAAATAACACATTAGTGATTTTCTAATGCTATCTAGGAAAACTTTAATTTCTTCACAGCAATGTGAATTATGGCTAACTTCTACAGGAAGCACTGAGTTGCAGTAATTGATAGAACAGTGGTGATTTCTTACAATGACATGTACAAATGAACAGGGGGTAAGACATTATGTACATGATTGTACATTATATGAACGCCTCCACCAAAGATATGGCATGGCAAAGATATTCCTACTATTTGTTCTCTCTTCAAATACTGATACATTGGCAAAAAAAATCTGATCCAATGTAATGTAGAATCCTTAGAAATATATAAAAATTTGTCCTGTTAATTGACACAGGGCCATTGTAACTTTTTACATGTGGATCAAAAGTTCAGCACAAAAATGGGCTGAAAAACTCGGCTTATACTCGAGTATATACGGTACACAGAGTTGTTTGTAATGAGTGCATGAAACATGTAAATTACTTAATTGCTCATTTTTGTTTTACGTTCTTAGAAGATTAAAGTTACCCCTGTATGCCAGGATGTTTTGGATTTTAATATATTCTAAACTTTTTAAAGTCAGAATTACAGTATACACGTTTGTATATTAGATTATTTATGGGGATCTGTTACAGTATGGATAAAACTTATTTTCCAAGCTTCTATAATAGCCTTCTACTTTCTTTTTCTTCTGTCATAACTACCAATTTACTTTTCATTTTAGCTGAACATGGCACATGTGTCTCAAACAGGCCCAATCCAACTGAAATGTTTGACAGATTTGAAGGAAAACTGAGCCAGCTTTGGTATAAAATCACTGGCGGACAGGTGGGCACGGGCTGTGGGACGCTAAGTGATGGTAAATCGTTGTACTTTATTGGGCCTGGAAAGAGAGAAGCACGAACTGCTGCCTTGGATACAACTAACACTAGGTGAGTAAACATCCCATATATTGCTTTATTTTGAACTCATGCTCTATATATACAAGACAGTTTTCTTGCAAAACTAAAGTTTTATGGGAGTTTATTATATGTTCTAGTGGCCATTTTATTTATCCTCTTGTGTTCACTATAAAATAGCTTTTGAAAAAAAAGACTTCTCGATGAACAGTTAATGTTTTAACGGGGGTCATAAAATGTTTTACTGCACTTCCAGAGACAAATTTATATTGAGCTCTTAATAAAAGACATGTTTGTAAGCAACATATTTCCCATCCATCTGAGGGTAAAAAGGCTGAAAAAGCATTTACATTATTGGAAACCATTAAGATACATGTTAACTTTATGATGGTTGTTACATGAATATTGGCGCCTAGCTCTTGTAAATCTCCATATCACATGCCTCCTCGGCACACAAAAAAACTTCATCAGCACAGGTCAGTGAGTAAACATGTAAAATCATTGTTTTCCTGGAAACTGATATAATGAAGTGAGGAAAGACGATTTCCTCAGTAAAAAATGACCAAAATGATGTCAAAATAAGGAAAGATTTATGTACTGTAAGCGGGAAATAGTTACATAAGGCCAGGGAATACTTTACCAGCAAATACAGAAATTGCACGGGATGGATGATCTTATATTAAGGCTGAACAATGTTTTATTTGCCAAAGGATTTGTAATTCTGCCAAGTCAGTATTATGAAGCAGGTACCCCTTTCAGGCAGCACATCTAGGTCCTGGACATCCCTGCATGTTACATTGCAGTTGAGAAATATAGCTTGGTCCGGGACCCATCCCAGTCTGTGACTGGACAATGAAGGACCAGTAGCCCTTTGATCACAGGTCATCTGTGTGCACTCCCCTCCTGTATGCATGTTCAGTTTTACCTTAACATCAGGGTGCAAATCAGTAGAGCCTGGAATGGCTCAGAATTCTTCACCTTCCTCTCCACAGATAAGTGCAACAGTGCATGGGATAAAAGGAAAATACTATCCAGGGATTCAAATAATTATTGTAGTTGTATGTGAAATTCATTTAATAAATAACTGGATTAAATATTTGTTTCTATATACAGTATGTGCCTGGAGTTCAACTCTAAATGTCAAGCACTGACTAGCAGCTTTATAATCCTGGCATTTGCCAGGAGAGACGGTGCATTTGGCAGTAGGCTGCCACAATTTCCTCAAGATTTCTCAAACGTATTCAGTTATTTTATATTAAAACAGCAATATTCACTGTAATTTTTACACATTTATTCCACTCCATTAACATTATTACTTTATTAGACTCAACGGGTTTGATTAGATAAGGGATAGTGTGTCCGTAATATGGTAAAGCTTTTTATTCCTGTTTCAGCACTGTTAGAGGTTCTAGAGTTTCTTATAATTTTATGAAAATCATTGCAATCAAATTAACAATAAAAAGAGAAATTTCACATGTACCATTTAAAGGTATATATCATTACCAGAGAAATACACGAGTTATTAATTTTTATTGTAATGGCAAGGACAAAATGGAGGCCATCATTCTATTATGGACACCAGTAACTGGCTTTAACTTGATAGCAGGTAATATTTGCTATGATATCATGGTGGACTTGTTGTATGTGTGTATCACATCCAAGGGGTATTACTCCTGAGTTGTAATAAAAAGTGTGGATCAATGTATATGCTATAGCTAGCTCTCAAGATAAGCTATTGGATTTATAAGGTGATAGTTCTGAGAGTTATATGGGCAGGATTAAAATGAATAGGAAAGGCTAGGAAACTATACTCAGATTAACTAACATTCAGCATATTGTAGCAAACTGATAATTATCCACATTTTAACTTTTTCTTTAAAGCAAAGCACTATCATGCTTATTCTGTTGTCTAATTATCTGTAAAGTAATGTAAAATTGAATTAGAAAGCAACCTCTGTATTTGGATCAGAAGTGCAAATCATTTTGGCTGTAGTTATGTCTGACATTTATGTGAATATTCACTATAAGATCATTGTAAAGCATCACTGAGTTGTGCTGCATTGTCAGCAAGATCCCTATAGTTAACTGTATCCTTTTCCTCTCAGGTTGGTTCAGTTTTACATACAGATAGGAAGTAGAAACAGTGGTCTGACCTGTAGCAGGCCAAAGGAAAGAAATGAAGGTAAATATTTTCTTTGTATTTATCATGTGCCAAATGCTTGTATTTATTATTTCCATGAAATCCTGTTATCTTTTTTGTTTTTTGTAGTTTCATCTATTTATTTTTAACATTAAGCAGTCTCAGTGGACTTTAAGCATTTTTTTTATAAAATCATGAAAATAGGAATGACAGTCATTTTTACTTCTAGAGATTTTTTAAATTTTTTTTTAGATTGCATGTAAATGCTAATAATATTTATGAGTATGTATTCATAAATAGTAGTTGTCTCCCTAAGAACAATGGTTACAAATACATCTGCCTACTGCCTACAGTGCAGGACCCCACTGCTGTTTCTGTGACTTTCCTAAGGAGGCTGAAGTAACTCACGTACCATCAATGCCATCTTGCTGTTTTCTCAGCTGAGCACCAAGTGCAAAAAACAGTAACCAGTTGCAACCAATCAACATTAATTTTACTGAAGTTGGAACAGCAAAAGATAGATTCTGATTGGTCGGGTTCTGTACCTTAAACCTAGTGCTTGGTCTTTATGGATTAAACTGATATCTATCATACCACATATCATCATAAATGTGTAAAAACAATACTAATTTGATGTAAATAACAATCATGTATTCAATGTATTACTGAATTAAAAGAAGACAATACACATTGATAGTTGTAGCGTGTGTTAATATTGCAAACTTACAATGTCTTTTTCAAAAATTCTACTGTAGCTTTTTCAATGTAAACTTTAAATATTTTTTCCCCAAATTTCCACAGTCAATTTGAATCTGTGTAATATTTTTAACAATAGATATGTGCTGTGTTCCTCCACTGCATTTTTTTTTTAAACCAGCGTAAATAAACATCTCATCCTTATACTAATGTAGTCTCATATGTGTAAACTTTAATGTGCTTTGCTGTCTGTTTTTAAGGTATTATTGTTCAGTATACAAATGACAATGGCATTAGCTGGAATCTATTGCGTGAGCTGGATTTCTTATCTTATCTGGAGCCACAAATAATCTCAATAGAATTACCACGTGATGCAAAGACTTCTACGACAGCATTCCGATGGTGGCAGCCACAGCATGGTGAGCTCTGTAAGAGGCTGTGCCTGGGAAGGGTTGTTCTCTTTTGTTACCTTTTCCAGGCACTCTTCAGTCATTTCCTTGTGCTCCAACATCAACAGTGCTAATGTAAATCAGAAAATATTTAATAGGTGTCGGGAAAACCCAAACTCAGGGGTTTCAATACCATTGACTGCTGAAGCCAAATTGAAAGAGTAAATGTATTTATTGTACATGTTTGCATGGAGAGCAGTACAATACAGAGTATTGGGTTCAAAATTGCTCTGACTGGCTAAGGTCCTAACATAATTATATACGCTCTGAGCTGGGCGGGAACCTGCCTTGCTCTCTAGTGTAAATCTTCTTTCTGGTGGCATCTGTTAAGGTGATGATGACCATTTAGACATGCTATTTATGATTCTTTTAAAGGGACAGCTGTTTTAGACAAGAACCAATTTCCTTGTAAATGGATTTGTAAGTAGCATTCTTGGGTGGGCATGACAAAAAGGAAATGCAGAACGTTAGACAATATTTGATTAAAACTGAATATGTTATAAATAAACTAGTTGCTCCATTTCCCCCTCCTAGGCAATGCTAAAACTTGTAAAAACTATACATACGACAGCGGGGCTCAGAGTAAAAGATTGGTAACTGCTGTGTCCTAAAAAAAATCCTACCCTCTCATGCATTAAAAAAAGCATCAAACACCACCTGTATAATGCTGGTCTAAGTTCTCAAAAAAGTTAAAGATTTTGCCTTTAGCTAAAAAGGATTGAAACTTCCAAATATAACACTAGACACTGCATTGTGTATTTGATGTGTGTTATGACTGGTCCTGTATTGTTAACTATTCAAATTATTCCAGGGAAACAATCAGGCGAGTGGGCATTGGATGATGTCCTCATTGGAATGAACGACAGTTCCCGAACTGGGTTCCAGGACAGATTTGATGGCTCTGTAGACTTGCAAGCAAACTGGTACCGAATCCAGGGAGGCCAAGTAGACATTGACTGTCTGTCCATGGATACTGCCCTTGTGTTTACTGAGAACAAAGGTATGTGTCCTAAAATATGGTTTGTATTGTATAACTAAAATATGGTTTATACTGTATAACTCTTTTGCATCATTGAGGCTTCATACATGGTTCATTGCTTTAATGTATGTCCATACAACATCTGAAAATGCCATTGCATAGACTTGTGTTGGAAGAATTTAGAAACCATTTTTTACAGATCCTTTACAACATTAGCGGAAAAATAAAAATCACCCTTAATCCATTTATGGATTCATAAAAAATTGCATATCTTTTGCATTTTAGTAGAGAAAATGGAGGCAATTTAGGATGTGTGAATGTGTAAGAAATAAGTAATAAGCCATTATTGTAGTATTAGTTTGAATAATAGTGTAGTCAGACAGACTAATAGAAGGTGATTTTTTTTGTTGGATGTTACAGTGTATAGACAGCCTCATGCACATAGCTTTATGCCTTATTACAATATATAAAGACTTTATTCTTGTATTCCTTGCATAATTTTCACTTACATGTCCATCCTATCATTCACCCAGATTATTTAGGGGGTTATTCACAAAGTTTGCCATAGGCAGCCATGTGAATAACCGACCTGAAGTGAAGTGAGCCGAACGCTGTTCGGCTATTCATTTCAGGCTTGTTCAGCTGCTTTCAGCCATACACTGACTTAAATCAGCTGTACATCGGCTTGCTGTGGCTGGGTTCGGGTCGGCCGAACATGCTCAGCATGTTCGGCCGACCCGAAGTGCAGAAGGAGTTCGACTCAGCTGATCCAACATCTGGATCGGCTGAGCTGAACCTCCGGCAGGCTACTCGCTGCTGTTGGGCCTATTCTCATAGAGGCCGAACAGCAGTGAGTGAATAGCCGAATGCCGCCGAGAGGCATTTGGCTCGGCTATTCTGCTCAGTACCTCTGTGGTACCGAGCAGAATATAAAAACTGTAAAAAAAAAGTAAAAAACGATTGGGCAGAGCTAGCAGTGACAGCTAGCTCCGCCCAACTGTTTTCTATTGGCCGGGACTAGCTGTCATTACAATGAGAGCTTGTCAGAGCCAGCGGTGATATCAAAGGCAGCTCCACTAAGCTCATATTGTAATGACAGATCAGCTAGGTAACCAGGGACGCTGTTCTGTCATTACAGTGAGAGCTTAGCAGAGCTGGCTTTGATATCACCGCCGCCTCCGACAAGCTCTAATGACAGTTCAGCGTCCCCTGGTCACTAGGTAACCAGGGGACGCTGAACTGTCATTACACACTGAGAACTCGGCAGAGCCGTCTTGTTCTCAGTGTAATGACAAATCAGCGTCCTTGGTTACCCGGTAACCAGGGGACGCTGATCTGTCTCCGCATGCAAGTGGCCGGAGCCATCCGTGAGATGACGGCTGGCTCCGCCCAGGTGTCAGCAGCAGGCTGTCGGACCTACCAAAAGTGGTCGAAGGAAGGACAGCCGGTGAACCGGCGACATAGTTATGGTTGGCCAAGACTCAATGATACACATGGGGAGGGACAGTGGCGGACCTAAGGAACAAAGGGCCCTGGTAGAGAGGGGGAGGGGGGGCAATGTATATAGAGAGGGGGGAGGGGAGGTAATGTATATAGAGAGGGGGAAGGGGGGCAATGTATATAGAGAGGTGCCCTCTCTGTATACATTACCTCCCTCTCGCACCCTCTGCCTCTCCCGCTCACAGCCGACAAACCCAGCTGAGTGGGCGGGGACCGGGCAGTAGCGCGCTGTGATTGGCGGAGGGTTGCCGTGGAAATAGAATGCTGACCCGGCACGGACTAAGCATTCTATCGCCATGGCAACCATCAGTATCCGGCGGCCGGCGGGCCCTCCATCTCTGCGCCGGGAGAACGGATGATCCGACACTCTCGGCGCAGAGATGGGGGGCCCACTGGCCGCTGGGTACCGATCCGCTGGGACTGTGCTGGGCCCCCTAGAGGCCCTGGTGCGCCGGCACCGCCTGCATCAACGGTAGTTCCGCCACTGGGGAGGGAAGGCTGGCTTTATAGTCCGATCTAATGGAAGAGCTACTATAGATCAAATTGCTGAAAAAGATTTTAAGTCTGGCCCTAAGTACAAGTGTACAAGTGTTCTAATGTGGATCATGTAAAATAGTTTTTCTATCTTCTGATTTTGAAGAACAATGAAAATTACAAGAGGATTTCTAATGCATTGTTATTAATTTATACTACAGGAAAGCCTCGATATGCAGAGACATGGGATTTCCATGTGATGCCATCCAGTTCTCTACAGTTTGAATTGAGCATGGGCTGTAGTAAGCCATTTACTGATTCTCACACAGTTCAGTTACAATACTCACTAAACAATGGAAGAGACTGGCACCAGGTTACTGAGGAGTGTGTACCACCAAGTATTGGATGTTTGCATTATACAGAGAGCTCTGTGTACTCATCTGAGAGGTTCCAGAATTGGAAGAGAGTTACCGTATATCTACCACCATCAACATTGTAAGTGTACAGATGTTTTATAACTCATCGAACAGACTGGTGAATTTAGTTTTTTTTTAGTGCATTTAAAATAAACACTTAAAATGGATCACTTTGAGTTAAATAATCTCATTAATATGTAGTAATATGCTAAAAATGTTGTTTCTCTTAATAATTATGTGTCTACATGAATGTCATATTTACACATTACATGTGCAAGCTCTCCTTCCTGCTTTCCAGTGCTATACAATGATTGTGCTTTATTGTACCTTCCCACAATGCAAGTCTGCGAGTCACCAAATATATTTAAACAATCCTGTGTAAAAATCTGTATTTTTAATGCAATAAAAATCATGGAAGAGTGAGCAAGTATAATGCAGAAGTCGCATAAAAGATGTCTTGGATGCATATATCAGTTCATGTTCTGATGAACATTTTTTAATTTTACATGATTTTTTAGTACATTAACTAAAATCCAAGCACTTAACACTTTGTTTAGTTGGCCTGTAGATGTATACAGTACATAAAATAATATCCCTGGATTAACTTGCCTCCTATAACATTTGCTTGTTTAGTCCTAGGATTTTAATTTTCAAACGCTGTACACATTTCAGTAAAATAAAATGCACTATGTGATACTGAAACAAGATTGAATAACACACTTGTACATAAACACTTTGAGGATCACTTGAAATCAGTTGTTAATATATATAAATTAAGGACTCTGTGGATTTGTAATCATTTGACTTCATACAAATCGTATGTAATTTGTTTCTACTGGACAAGTCTTAGCTTAAAGGGTTTCTAAACCCTGAGGTTTTTTTTGCATATGTCTACTGCTAGCGAGCAGTAGATGTATGCAAAAAGTTTTTAAAAAACAAAAACGCTTTAACAGTGGTTTAAACTTACCTGTGTCTTTCCGGCGCGCTCCCGTCCGCAAATGTGAAAATTCTCGGGCGGCTGCAAAGGATCTTGGGGCGCGCGCATGCGCAGTTCACATTTTCGGCCGGGACGCGTGAAGGGACCCAAAGTAAGTCTTTGGACGCGTGCACCCTCATGCAGACACCGTGGGACAGGAAGTGCCAGCAAGCCCAGAGGAGTCAGCGCTGGATCGGACACCCACCGCAGCGCTGCAGAGAAGGCTGAAAACATCAGGAAAGATGAAGAAGATCGGATTAAGAGACATAATTTAAGGTAAGTGCTTTAATTAACATTGGGGGAAGGGTGAAAAAAGTTGCCTTTAATGTCTACATATTAAAAATGTACCAAAAGCAAATAAATTATTGACTATTCACTCATGCAGTATTGATTATAAACTGCTATATAACTGTGCACTGTAAAATGGATGTGCTTGGATTTTATCACAGCTCTCCAAGGACTCGCTTCAGATGGATACAGAGTAGCTATGGACCTGGTACTGATTCATGGGCCATTGATAACATTATTCTTTCCTCTGGATGCCCTTGGATGTGTTCAGGACATGGTGTGTGTAATTCAGGGCACTGTGTGTGAGTATTAACACTTTTATACAATAGTTGTACATAACAAATTACATTTGGGGCAGTTGATATATTTATTAATATTATGATTATATTATCTACTGCTAATGGTGGAACACATTTTAGAAAATTGTTCAGAGCACCAAAGCTTCACCCAGGCATTCCCAAATATTTATTAAAACTGAACTCCAGGCAGACATCAAATTACATAGATGTAAAATATATACGGTAGCTGTTTACCTAACAAAGGATTTTACTTCATTCAGTCCTGACATGTGCACAGCCAGAAGGATGACGCCACTTTTTCTGTTAAAGTTAAGAATACAGTGGTGTCATCTCTCCGCTCCCAGCCTGTTAACAGTGAAGAAGCAGCAGCAGACTAGTTAAGTTATCTCTCTACTCAATTTGCTCTTCTCCAACCAGTTTGTTACTTGTCAAAATATTTGCATGCAGCATACATGATTGGCTCCCACTGCTGCTGTACAGGGGGAAAATAATACTCTTAAAATAATGCCATATCCAAGTCCCTAAACTGGTTGCATTGTAAACAACTTTTTATTAATTTATTAATGAACACAGAGGTGTACTAATTTGTGTCTTTTATATCTGCCTGGAATTCTTCTGCGCCACTTCAATATTTTGAGATGTGGATTGTCTGAAGTTGTATTACTTTCAGTGCTCAATTTGTTGCTGTAGTAATGACGTAGTAATTGAATAACTAAAGATGATAGCCAGTTTAAAAAAAGTTTTTTTAACCACCTGCTGTCCGGCCGTCATTCAACGGCTTCTTGAGGGCGGTGGGCACGAGCGGGAAACCGGCTTTGAATGTAAACAGTCAGCGATGGCTGTTTACATACAAGCGTTCGGGTGTCTGTAGAGACGCCCGATCGCTTGTAATATGCGGTCGGGTGTGCGCCCCTCCTCCGTCGCCGCCGCTGCTGGCGATCCCGGGCTCCGCTGTTCCCAGTGTGAGCCCGGGACCAGCACAGCAGCTCTGTGGCCGGAGATCAAACTGAGCTCAGTACACGAGTCATCTCCTCTTCTGAATGCAGGCAGTGATGTGTATTACATCACTGCCTGCATTCAGTGTCTCTCTCTGGTACAGAAACCGGAGAGAAGCTGGTGAAGCAGTATTAATGAACACAGAGGTGTACTAATTTGTGTCTTTTATATCTGCCTGGAATTCTTCTGCGCCACTTCAATATTTTGAGATGTGGATTGTCTGAAGTTGTATTACTTTCAGTGCTCAATTTGTTGCTGTAGTAATGACGTAGTAATTGAATAACTAAAGATGATAGCCAGTTTAAAAAAAGTTTTTTTAACCACCTGCTGTCCGGCCGTCATTCAACGGCTTCTTGAGGGCGGTGGGCACGAGCGGGAAACCGGCTTTGAATGTAAACAGTCAGCGATGGCTGTTTACATACAAGCGTTCGGGTGTCTGTAGAGACGCCCGATCGCTTGTAATATGCGGTCGGGTGTGCGCCCCTCCTCCGTCGCCGCCGCTGCTGGCGATCCCGGGCTCCGCTGTTCCCAGTGTGAGCCCGGGACCAGCACAGCAGCTCTGTGGCCGGAGATCAAACTGAGCTCAGTACACGAGTCATCTCCTCTTCTGAATGCAGGCAGTGATGTGTATTACATCACTGCCTGCATTCAGTGTCTCTCTCTGGTACAGAAACCGGAGAGAAGCTGGTGAAGCAGGTCTCTGCTTCATCAGCTTCTCTGGGGGTCCCAAGGTGACATCAGGGGTCTTAGAGACCCCTGATGTCTCCATAAAGAGGACCTGTCACTGCAAATTGCCCCCTATGTTATAGCAATAAAGTGCAGTGAAAAGAAAAAAGGTTTCAAAAAATTTGTTCTGGTAGGAGTCTCCACCATCTGGTCCATGAAATTGTCACATACAGCCGCGAACGTCGGAGTGAGAGCAATAATTCTGGGGTCATTAATCACGGATAGCAATAAACTGATGGGTGGTAAAAGCTTTTAAAGCGTCGGCTATAGTCAATTTTGAGTATGGTAGTTTTATGCGAATTTAACCGGGTGCACGCAATTTTAAAGCTTAACATGTTTGGTGTCTATTTACCCGACGTAACACCGACTTTTATATTTTACCAAAAAATTGGGTAATAATAAATGTTTTATAACATAACGTAGGGAGAACATGTTTTTTTTTTCAAAAGTTTCGGTACTTTTTTCATTATATAGTAAAAAAACAACCCCGTAGTGGTGATTAAATACCACCAAAAGAAAGCTCTATCTGTCCCCAAGAAATGGTATAAAATTCATTTCAGTGCAGCGTTGCATGACGGAATAAATGTCAGTGAAAGTACCACAGCGCTGAACACTGAAAAATGGCCTGGACAGGAAGGGGGTATAAACACCCCGGTCAGCAAGTGGTTAAAGTAGTATTAAACTCCCATACTTTTTTCTATTAATTAATTCAGATCTAACAAATATACATTGCCCAGCAAAGTATTTTTTTTTAAATATTTGCCTAACAACTAAAAGTCATCATGTTTCTGACTCCAACTCTGTGAGCTCTCCTACAGTGTACTTCCTGTCCAGTACAAGATCACAAGGTCTCCAGCAGCTAGTAGCTTGGAACAGGGAGGAGGGAAGGAGGATTGGGGGACTTACCCTACTGGCTGCATTGTAGATGGGTGGTTGCAAATCTGCCTAAGAGCTTCCAAAAAACATTTTCACAGGAGCTCCTGTTCCAAAATAAATATGTAAAGATTATTCTGTCTTTTTGCTATATCATGTAACCCCCTGTACTTTATTTATTTGTTCAAGCAGACCTAAAATTCTTTTTGTAATGCAAACCCTCTGAAATTTTAATTTAAAAATTGTTCGTGAGGGCATACTTGTAAATCTGCCTTACCGTTTCTATTATCCATATTTCATATTGTCCATATGCCATCATTCCTAATCATTAACAGCTAAAATGGCAAACCATATAACACAAGCCGAGGGTGTCAGCTTTTATTATTAATAATAATGAGGATAATCACTAGATGGGGACCTGATGGAGAACTGCAGGTCCCCCTCTGCTGATTGACAGCAGCAGTGGGCGGGTGCAATAGCTAGTTTGCTATTGCAAAGTGAAATAGCCAATAGGAATGTAACTATGCATTCCAATGCTGATTTATTTATTTTTTTCTGACTTACGGCGGCCAGGGCTCCGATGTCAGAAATAAAAAATAAAAACCGATCGCAGCGACAGGTTTACTCTGCTCGATCGAGCAGATTAAACCTTTCCGGGAGAAAGTGTTTCTCTCCCGGGCGGCTGGGAGCCGCTATCTAATAGCGGGAGACTCCCGGCGACCCCTGGCAAATTGTCATTCGACCCCCGAAGGGGTGCCGACCCACAGGTTGAGAACCGCTGCATTAGTGGGATATGATGAAGGGGTCCTACCATTGGAGGGAAGTGATGTCATCATTCCTTCATAGGAAGTTCTCTGTGAAAACTAGTTTTTTATTCTTTGCCAGGAATAGGGCATGTAAAAGGGCAGTTCTATCCCCACCCTAAAATTCCCTATCTACAGGCTTTTTTAGCCACTTGTCACTTTTTTTTTTTTTAAATACAGCTGTCTATCATATAAGAAGGGAGAGCACAGGGTGGAACAGGGAGAATCCACAATGTTCTGTGCAGTTATTGTCTCTGTTTCTTATGCCAGTATAGTAGCATAATGACATACTAAGAGGGAGGTGTAGAAAGCCTATGACCTCTGAGCTGCTCATCCAATAGAGCTGAAGCCAACAGGTCATAAAGAATTCCAGGTCCTGCATTGTGCATGCACAGCAGCTCAAATACCTTCTGTAAAAGCCACGATACACACAGGGGTCTATTTATAAATATTTTTACACAAGATTCACACAACCTTCACCAAAGATTCACACATTTTCCTAATTGACTGCCACTGGTAAAATGTGTGCATCCTGGGTGAAAGTTGTGTGATAACATTTATAAATAGACCCCATCATTTTACAAGCGTACGTGCATGTACTATTTTTATCTTGTAAGAATAAAAATTGTAAGAAAAAATCTGTTAAGAATGTAAGAATGTTTGCCTGAAAAAAATCTTCAGTAGTGCAGCTAATAATATTAATGCTTGCAATATTCCAGGTGTGACAGAGGTTTCGGTGGCGCATACTGCGTCCCAGTTACACCTTTACCATCCATTCTGAAAGATGACTTCAACAGTAGTCTCCATCCTGACCTGTGGCCTGAGGTGTATGGGGCAGAGCGGGGAAATTTAAATGGAGAAATAATTAAATCTGGAACAGCACTTATCTTTAAAGGGGTAAAGCCTTACTTTTAAACTTCACAACTGACATTTATATGTAATAAAGTCTAAATCATTGGCTGTATTTTTGTTACATTATATTATGATTTATCATCATTTTATAGCCAAGACTAGACAAACTAACCAAGATTTTATGTTATATGAGCCCAGATCATATTTGTATGAAAGCTGATCAAAATTAAGGTATATTACCCCTGTTTGAAGCAGTAATACTACAGCAGGTCTTTTACAGAAGTCCTAACACTAAATATTTATTATGAAATGTTCTGGTTTCTTGATACTATATTGTGCCAGCACCTCAACTTATCTTCATTGTAGGCATGTACTGTGTCAAATGTCAACTTTTTGTAATTTCATGTGATTTATTTTCAGGAAGGATCCAGAATGCTTGTTTCAAGAGATCTTGACTGTACACATACATTGTACATCCAGTTTTCATTTAAATTCATTACCAAAGGTAGGTTTTATAGAAAAAACACTCAGAGGTAATGAAATATAATTGGATTTTTTTCATAAAACCTCAGTGTGACTCATTTGTAAAACCTGAGCAAAATAAAACATCTGTACTTTTCACTGGAGTCTTACAGATGTGATGGACAGATGGCAGATGGCAACCATTTAATTCATTTTGACATGAGTATGCTAATTAGTAAACCACAGGTTCTCCAGGGTACAGTATATCAGAGAGGGATATTGGTGCAGTTCTTTTGTTGAAGGCACTGGCTATCATTGGCAGGTAATCTACCCATATTTAAAGCTGAACTCCAGCCTTCCCTTTAACAGTGACGTACTTAAATAGCTTTCTTTGATTTTAATGATTGCTGTGAGCTTCTCACAGTGTGCATTAGAAGTTGCAGCAAGTCAGATAGTGCCTGCCTTATTTCCTGGCTGGAGGATGTGAGCATCAATTTTCTCCAGCTGAAATGTCCTCGCCCACACCCTCCCACTTTCATTTATTGGATTTTAGTTCTTACAATTATAGGGCTCAGCGTCATATGTAGGTTTTACCTAGGGTGGTCTGCTGTTTTCAGGAAGCTAAGTACAGGCCCTCCTGATCTGCCAGCATTGCATAGGGAAGCACAGAGAACAAGCAATTACATCACTGGTTTTAAGATAAGGTATGTAATGTAAACAAATTATTTTGTAAATGTTGTTAGCATGTTGATGAGGAGGGAAGGATGAACCAGGGGAGGCAAAATAAAAGCAGATTAAATGTCAGCTTTTGGGAGTCATTTTAGTATTTTCAAACATACACAATCAATCTTAGTAGAATACAGTGACAATTTATAGCAAAATAAGTTGCATTTATTTATTTGCATTTTCTATATTTTAGATTTTTGCATAAAAATTTTAAGCATGGGAGCCATTTGTGTACAGCTAGAATGGAGCATAGTTCAGCCTAGAGCATGCCTAAGTATATACAGCGTTTGATCCCTGAAGACCTGGATGTCAGTTTTGGTCACAATCAGAATGTATGGGATATATCCTGATTTAGGTCCTGTATCCAGTGAACTTTCTGATTGTGACTAAATTTGGCGCAGTGTCTTTGGAGACCGCCTTCCATATGTTCGCTGTCCACAGAAAATTCTGTCCATCCTAATGTGTTCTGAAAATAGATGCAAGTAGTTTTTCCTAACGTCTTCAAAGCAAAAGATATATTTTATTTTACAAATATACATGATCATTACATTAACCTGATTTACATTGATGAGCCAACAAAATTTTAAACTAGGCACCTTCAAACTTGTTGAATACTTATGATTTTGTCCATTGTAAGGTTGATCTATGGGTAAAAAAATATATATTTTGAATAGAGTAGGGAAGGGTTAAACCCCCTGGCAGGTTTTTATTCCTTTCTGTGTCCCTGGGGAAGATTCACCCTCTCCTCCAGTCCTGGTGACTACACAGAAAGTGACTGGAAATCTCCCCACAGGTTCACACTTTGGTCCCTTCCCTACTCCACTGAAAAAGGTGGTTTTGTTGCTATTTGTGTCCCACTTGGAGAGAGCAATATACATTTTTTACAGGTTCTTACCCTTCCCCACCAGACTCAAAGCTAAATAAGAAAAACGTTTACTTGATTTTCACTTGAAGCATTTTAAAAATATACTTTATAATAGTAAGCAAATGTACCCACATATGTTTCCATTTTAATAATATATTTACTGATCTTTTATATTTGTACTTTTACTTATTTTAGGAGTTCCAGAGAGGTCACACTCCATTCTTCTTCAGTTCTCAGTCACAGGAGGCATCACATGGCATCTCATGGATGAATTTTATTTTACTCAAACGACTGATGTCTTGTTTGTCAATGTTCCTTTACCAGCAGCAGCTCAAACCAATGCCACCAGGTTTAGGCTCTGGCAGCCTTACCACAATGGTATGGACTACTTTTTTAAAAATGTTCTTTAAAGCTGAACGGCAGGCACAAAATGTTTTATCTAAATATATTCCTTAATATCCCTAAAGGATATAAATCCACTTTGTGTGCATCAAATGCTTTGGCAAACACAGTTATTACCTTGAAATACTAGCAGTGACATCCTCAGTGTGCTTGCGCATATAGTAGAACTGTAGGAGAGACCCAAAATACCCACCCACTACAAGATGCCTGATTAGAACTATTGGGGCGAGGCAGATATAAGACCTTTCACCCTGCACCCCAGCAGTGACCAGTCTTTATTACCAGTCCCCTTACACTAGTGGTCAGTGGAGAAGGAACCCTTACACTACTAGAGGTTAGTTGAGAAGAGCCCCTTACATTGTTGGTCAGTGGGAGATATGTCCCCTTAGATTGGTAGTTATTGGTATGAAGAGACCCCTTACACTGCGGGTCAGTGGGAAGAATTACCTACTACATTGGTGGTCATTCAAAAGAATGCTCCCTTACATTGGTGGTCATTGTGAAGAATGCAAACAGAAAGCAAAAAGGATGCTCATAGCAAGCATACTGCAGAGTGCTCTGTAGAACAGCATAATGCTTAGAAGCTAAACTGTTTAGATTTAGTCAATAAGATTCTATGCCTTGGCTGTCGCATATAGACAGCATTTCCAGCACCCTTATCTATTGCACCTTAACAACCTGATTTTGATTTAAATATATTGATTAATCACATTAATCCCTACCCCTGAGAGCTTGCCATCCAATGCCCTTACCACAGTTACACAAGCAAACACGTGCATCAGGATCGATTATAACCAAGAGGAAACACACAGAAATATGAAAGGCACATAAAATGTCTGTACATATAGTGGCCATGATAGAAACCTAATCCTGTACCCAAATTCTGTAAGGCAACAGCACTTACCAATATCAATATTTTTCCACGTCTTTAAGTATATACGCAGGCCTGTGCATAAATGTAATCATGCACTTGAGAGAATTCCCTTTGAAATACTAAAACTAAATGTTATCATTGTTTTCAAAAGAAACAGAATGCTCAGATGTTACTTGCTGTAAGAATGTGCAGCATGTGAGGATTATGAGATGAGCTGGTCAATACTTTTTTGTCATTTGTCCTTTACTGTCACAGGGAAAAGAGACGAAATATGGATCATAGAAGACGTTGTAATTGATGGAAATAATGTACGCAATCCTTCTATCTTAATGGATACATTTGATTATGGTCCCAATGAAGATAACTGGTTTTTCTACCCTGGTGGAAATATTGGTCTCTACTGCCCATACTCTTCCAAAGGGGCGCCGTAAGTCAGCATGGTTGTTATTTATCACATTTTATATGTCAGATGTTACCTCAATACTTCATATTTTAATGTCAATATCAGAGGTTTTTTTAACAACATATGCAACTAAAAAAATAAAAAGGTCAATGAATCTTGTGACCTTCCAGATGCTAGATAGTTGTAAATCTTTAAACTAAGATTTGACTTTAGACAGACCACGCCTATTCACCAGCTCTACTTTGTATGCTTTTGTAATATAATGTATAACTGCTGTCTCCCTGATTTCATTGCTGCAGGAGTAGGAATAATAATATTAATAATAATAATGTTGCACTTGTACAGACCACTGTCACGTAACTCTCCTGCTTAGTTTTTAAGCTTTTTGGGCTCTTGCAGCATCTAGGCATCGGGACCAGGCTAAGATCAAGGACTCTGCACTAACCGCAGCAGAAACACTGTACAACATTTTGCAGTACTTTGTTCTTTTAGCAAGCAAAGATAGCCTACTAAATATGTTTCTTACTTATAATGAAAGCAGAAATCTCAGTGGTATACATCTACACATATATGCTGAAGCCTTTGTATATGCTGAAGCCTTTATGTGTGTTCTACAGTTCTACTCTGATCTAAGCGAAGAAAATCGATGCAGGAGTCTTAATATTCACATTTTATTTGACTATCCTTCTCACTGTAAAGTTGCATGACTCTGCTATATATTTTCTTATTTGTTCTCTGCTTTGAAAATGTAATAAAAACATTGAAAACAAAAAAATCAATTGGTCAGCCAATAAAAGAGAGCTGGTGCTTTTCTAATACAATATCTTTGTATTGCTTACTATCTTATTATAGACATAAATTAAAACAGCCAGTATAAAATGTTAAAGCTGGAATAGATTTTTAGTTTTCCATGTATTTGTAATATTTGTCATATATCTATGAGATGCTATTGAACTGTATCTTTAGTTTGTAACCTTAGTCCAGTGTGAAGTAACTTCAATACTGAAGATGTTTGTTTGATGACAGGGAGGAAGATTCTGCCATGGTTTTTGTTTCAAATGAAGTAGGAGAACATTCTATTACTACAAGAGATCTAGATGTGAATGAAAACACTATCATTCAGTTTGAGGTAAACTAAATTTCTCTATTTATCCAGCAAACATTTCTGTATTTACATTTTAGTATAATATGTCCAAATCTAATATAAATATAGTTTTATTCCAATGTACACCTTTTTGTTACTTGAACAAATAACTCTTTACTAAGTTATGGCACCTTGCCTCGAAATGTATGCAGTATTTACAGTATGCACCTGTCATTTAATATACCTGGCTTCACTATGGTCAGACCTAGATGTTTTTCACATTCTTTTATAACCATTGCTCTTGTTTCATCCAGATTAATGTGGGCTGCACAACGGACAGTAATTCTGATGATCCAGTGAGACTGGAGTTCTCTCGGGATTTTGGTGCCACATGGCATTTGCTTCTCCCGCTGTGCTACAGCAGTAGCAGCCATGTCAATTCTCTGTGCACCACAGAGCATCACCCTAGTAGCACCTACTATGCTGGAACAACACAAGGCTGGAGGAGAGAAGTCATAAATTTTGGAAAACTGCATCTTTGTGGGTAAGAAGCATAGCTGGCTAGCTTAGGGTGTATGTTTATTTTCATTTGCATGCACTTAAATAATAGCAAAATGTAAGAAAATTGGAACAAATGCCAGCCTAAGATATTGCAATAAATTCTAATCCCATTTTATTCATTTGACCTTGCTGATGGAAATGGCCAAAAAATACTGTATCAGCTCACTAACAGGTCACCAGATAGCACCTACAGTGCAGATGTAATGCAATATACTGAATTTTTTTTACATTTATTCTATTGTCATAAATAGTAGGGTGATATACTTTTTAAGATCAAAGAAAAAAATCTGTATAATGTTTTACACAATAATGAAACATCCATAACTGTGACTTACATAAATAAGACATAAATATAATGACATGACTAAAATTAAGATTCAAATCTATGACCTTTGCTTAAAATTACATTTGTCTCCACTTTACATGCCACTGCACTTACACCCACCTCTTTGCTCACCACCACTGTAATTTATTAAAACATGACAGATTGTTTTATTGCAATAAATTATCTACATAATTCTGAATTACCCCCGAGAGAAAAATCCAGTTATGGTTGGCGTTTGAGAATGGATTACTAGATACAAAAATTTGAATAAAGCTGAGCAAAGAATGAAGTACCTTTGTCATATTTGGAATGATGGCAACCATTACTGCAAAGCTTACCTGCAGCATTCAGTAGGAGACCCTGACCATGTGCCATTGGTACAAGATTCTAGCAACATCCTTGACACCAGTTTATATTTCATATCAATGGGTAGCCTAAATCTTCTAGCTAGGTTTGTGTTAGTTGTGACACATTGTTTGCATATAAGATATTTTACTATCTTGTTTACTTAATATTCTTGAATACACATGCCACTAGTAATGTAAAGAGTGTGGCAGGCATTTTAATTGTAATATTCAAAATATATGCAGCAAAAAATTTTAACTTACATTTTTTCTGTTCCTCTGAAGATCTATTCGGTTCCGGTGGTATCAAGGATTTTACCCAACTCCAATGAAGCCTGTAACATGGGCCATTGATAACATTTATATTGGTCCTCAGTGTGAGGAAATGTGCAATGGCCATGGAAGTTGTGTCAATGGCACCAAATGTATCTGTGACCCTGAATACTCTGGCCCCACATGCAAAGTCAGCACTAAGAATCCCGACTTCCTCAAGGATGACTTTGAAGGTGATCTTGTAGTAACCAAATACTGTTTTCTTTCGTAGTTCTATATTGTCTCCGTTTTATCATGTGATTTATTTACTTTAAGTGTAAAAATATGAATATTCATCATTCTGTATGTGACAGGCACAAAACATGTATTAAGTTAGCAATAAATGTAGTTAACATGACTGTGCCACATCCATAGTACTGCATACCACAAAGGTTATAATGGAAAAGAAAATAGGCTGAATATAATGTATTTTATCTTAAACTGTTTTTCATTCTCACTGAACAAATGGAAAACCCCTTCACCCAGGAATCCTACACAGGTCCTTAGATACTAGCCAATAAGATGATTAAAAATATACTAATGGGAGTCTTTCCAGTTATCTTTACTGTATAGCATATATGCTGATGCAAAGTATTGCTTAATCTCTCAGAAACAAGATGTTAAATGAACACTGCTCTACAGATTGAATTTGCCTGTTTCTATTAATTACTAGTAAGAAATAGGAAATGGATTGATGAGTTTGGGATCTAGAAGATCAGGTGCTTGGTGTTTCTATCCATAATCCTTGGGCAGATGTCTGCGTGAGTCTATAAGAGGTCTCTGTGGGCTTTAAGCTTCAGCCAGAGGGAACATATTTAGTTTTGTCAATGCATCTTACTTTGTTTATTATGGCTGTCATTGACAAGTTGCTACATTATGGCAATTTATCTGGCCTAGAGCAGTTTTTTGGTGATGCATGCAGAAGCACATATTTGGTGATATTACAACCATTAGTCAAATGGTCATTTTATATTTATATATATCTATATATATATATCTATATCTATATATATGTATAGATTCTGTCACTAACACAGCACCGCAGCGGCTATGAGGGGAAATGCGGCGCGGCCGCTGCTGAGCTGTGTCTGTGACAGCCAGCACCCCCCACATGCCATAGTGACCCAGGCCGGGCCCCCCTGTGCCCGGGCCCCATAGCGGCCGCCTGGGTCGCTATGGCGATTGTTACGCCACTGGAGCTTTAGGCCTTGTTCACACCAAGCGCGTTCCAGGAGCAGAGCAGAGCAGTTACAGATCGGAGCAAAACTGCGTCCAATGTATTCCAATTGTATTTTTAGCTCCAGTTCACATCTCAGCGTTCCGTTCCAGAGCAGGTAAAAAAAACTGCAGCAGGCCCCATTTTACCTGCTCTAAAACAGCGCGGGACGCATCAAAAACGCGGCCAAAAACGTGGCACAACTCACTGCACTGCGTGTGCAGAAACTCATGCAGATCTGCTCTGCATTTGGCCTAAACTTGCATTTTTGGATGGGTCGGCAAACTGTGTTCATAGACAGTGATTTTTTAAAGTACAGATGTTCCTCACTTACCGACTTACCTGTTTTGCGACCACTCGCACTTACGACGGAGCGCCGATCGACCTCCGACCTTGCGCGTCAGCGTCAGTGCGCCGTGTCGCCGGCGGAAGTGGTGTCCTCCGATCTTCATTGCGGGTCCTGGTAAGTATTTTCATTGCCTGATGTACAGTACACTGTTCGTTACTGTACATCGGCAACGCTATACAGTACTGTACTAATGCAGTACAGTACTGTATAGAGTTCCTCACTTAACGACCAATCCGTTTAACGACCTGGTCGTAGGAACGGAACTCGGTCGTTAAGTGAGGAATACCTGTATTCCTGAGCCCATTCAGTGATGTCCATCACAGAATCATGACTGTTTTTAATGCAGTGCTGTCTGAGGGCCCGAAGATCACACCCATCCAATATTCCGTTTTGGCCTTGCACACAGAGATTTCTCCAGATTCCCTGAATCTTTTGATGATATTATGTACTGTAGATGATGATATATTTAAAGTCTTTGAAATTTTACATTGGGGAACATTATTCTGAAGTTGTTTGACAACTTTTAGACACAGATTTTCACAGATTGGTGAACCTCTGCCCATCTTTACTTTTGGGACACTCTGACTCTCGAAGATGCTCTTTTTATACCCAATAATGTTACTGACCTGTTGCCTGTTCCCCAATTAGTTGTAAATGTTTTTCCAGCTTTTCCTTGTTACTACAACTTACTTTGCCTTTTTTTTGTTGCCCTGTCCCAACTTTTTTGAGACGTGTTGCTGCCATTAATTTCAAAATGTCCTTATTTTTTTCTTAAAATTGTACATTTTCTCAGCTTAAACATTTGATATATTTTCTATTTTCAATTGTGAATAAAATATGGGTTTATGAGAGTTGCAAATAATTGCATGTGGACATTTTTGGAACTGGGGATTTCAGTTTAGTTATTGGTCCAGTGAGATACATTCATAAAAGTCAGAAACTGCCCTTTTTTAGTTCCTAAGAACGGATATAAATGTGGGAGAATTGTGCGTTGAATCTTCCTTTTATATTCTTGCCAAGAGACCCAAAAGCATCCATATATTGATATGCCACCTAGGACTCACCAAAAAGGGCAAAGATAGAGAAATAATATACTTATATTTCTAGCACACTTTAAAATATAGATGTCAGCTCAGTACTAATATACTAAAAGGGCAAAGGCCAAGTGATCAAAACTTTGTTTTATATTTCTATACATATATATATATACTCGCACACATATTGAAAATTTATGGTACATATGGGGCCATGATATGGGGGCAGAAAGTGCAGCTGCGGTATACAACAGCATTTAAGAGTGCAGGATCCTCTGAGAGCAGTCATAAGACTCAACTGTGGAGCTCATGTACAGCCGTTTCTAGTTTCTATTCAAGTGCATTTAGTTTGCTCTACAGTCCAATGGCAGTCCAAGTGCAAACCATACATAATGCAGACAGTTTTCTGCCATCAATAAATAATGTTATAATTTTCACAGTAATAATTATGTAATATAACTGCTGCCAAATGGGGTGGGACATGAACAGAAGAGCTTCTTCATTCATGTGTTATTAGGGTGGCATGATGATGACCTTTAAATAGATTAGATTTGAGAAATGTGTAAGACAGATGCCAAATATGGTTATGTTCATAATGTCTAGGCTCCTAATGCTGGTATTCAGAGAAAGTTAATGATGTGGTAAAATGTCTCCCATTGTTTTTATTTTACTGGTCAGGACACTTTTAATTAGATGGTCTTTAATGTTGCCCTGTGTATCACTTAAGGCATCCAATTAGAGGAAGTTGTAGCAGAAGTGGTCTCAGATTACACTTTAACTTAATGGTCATATTGACTCGGGTATGTTAGATGGCCAGCAGGGAGCCATTAATCAGTGTAAGTATCTTGAAAACCCCACACTTCATCAAGTTTTCTCTGTGTCTCCTCAGGTCAATTAGAATCAGATAGATTCCTCCTAGTAAGTGGTGGAAAACCTTCCAGGAAATGTGGAATTCTATCCAGCGGAAACAATCTCTTCTTTAGTGATGAAGGCCTTAGAATGCTCATGACGAGAGATCTAGATTTATCTTTAGCTCGGTAAGAGGAACATGTTCATCTGTATTTACAAAGCACCTTTCATCTATCCTCATGAATGACAGAAAAAAGCATGAAACTATTATTTTATGTTATGGCAATCTTTTCTAGCCCCATACAGCCACTGGTCACTGTGCATACAAAGATACCTGATAAACCCAATTGTAAGAGATCTGTGTTATATTAGCATATATGAGTTTTTAACAAACTGATTGTACCAGTTTAATTTTAAAATACTGTATATTGCCAATCTTTTTAGGAAACTAAAAAAATATAGAAAAGTATTGGGAAACAGCAATTTACACCAAATGATTGATTATCTGTATTATACACCAAAAGTGAAACATGTACCTTACTTGTATATCACTCGGCTGTAGATCCTCAAATTATCTCTGTGTGTGTTGTAAGTAGCCACTGCTGCAAGCTCGCTCCTTTGATGGACTACAATCTAAATAGAAATGAGTAAACTAAACATGAGATTGTAGTCCATTACGAGAGTCAGCTTGGAGTGGTGGTTACTTTACAACACACAATGGGACCATGGGGAACAAAAGTAGCCACCCTCCAGAGGGAAAGACAGCGTCAGCACCAATTCAGAGATGATTTGAGGATCTACAGCAGAGTGATACACAAATAAGATACATTTGTGTTAATAGTTAAGGTACTTGAATGCAATTTTAAGATTTAACTCCTGAATTTAGTGTCACTTTAAAGAAACTGTACCCAAAAGGTATGTTTCCATTTTACGGTATGTGAGACTGGACAACACTTAGCCCACTGCTGTACAAGTAAGGTTCACCAGACATAATATCTACCAAAAACCTGGAACCGCTTTAACAGACCAAGCTTAAAGTTTTAGTCAATCTTCTAGTTTCAGGCTCTGAAGTAGATTATCCATTTATTTCTGTGGATAATCAAGTAGTGGGAGTGTGATCTAGTATTTGCGATCTGCTCATATTAATAAGTGTGGGATACATTTCAGCAGGTGATTCTGATTCTGCTGAGGTAAGGCATAGTATGGTCTGTCACAACCAAATTATAGCGTGTCATATAGCCCTGCTCGGATCCCCCTAAAGGCTATAAATACACAGTGGATGAGTTAAACCTATCCCACTCCACCTATAAAAGAAAAGTCTGTTTGTTATAGTTCTTAAGGGTTCTTTCACACATGTGTTGAGAATTTAATCAAAGAGCAACGCTGATAACACAGCCAAAGTGTGAACAATGCATTCAGTAGGCATTTTCAAGGCATTGAGAAGGTGTCAAAAATGCTTGCAAAATGCCCTGCAAGTAGGGGGAGTGTGTTAAGGGTAAAGTGATGTAGTAAAGGGAAGTGACCAGCAGGAGTCGCAGTAACGGGGTAGACTTTGGGTCATATAGTTCTGGGTGTTGCTCTACTGCTTGAATTAGCCGTGCATTTATTTCTGACATATTTAAAGCTAGAAGCTGTCCTCTTTTGTTGTGAAAATGATGGCTGTGACATTCACAATCACTAAACACTGGCTGTGTGCAGATAGGAAGTGTCATCTGCAGCTGCTCTGTTCATTAACTCTCTGATTCTCCAGTGGTTTCTGGGCTTGCAAAACCTTCTATACCTCTCCTAAACACCTGTGCAACACTTCTTAAATGCCTAAAAAAATTCTCTAGTGAGCATTGACTGAATGTTAAGAGAGCGTTTCAATACACTTCAATAGAGGCATTATTCCCGCGGCAAAACCTCTAGAACGTGACATGCACTCTATTTTTGACACAACACAATGCTAATGCCCATGTGTGAACTGTACTAGGCATATGCTATTGTTTTATCCCATATGGGTGTTAATAGGCGGCCAAGAGGAGTTAAAAATGCTTCTCTACAGCCTGGTTTTAACCTCCCTGGCGGTAATCCCGAGTCTGGCTCGGGGTGAATTTTCAATGCTAGGAGCGGTAACCCCGAGCCAGACTCGGGGCTGCACAGAAAAGTGACACTCACCTTGTCCCTGCGAGCCCGCGGAGTCCTCTGCTGTACGCGGCCCAAAAATGAAACTAAAGGCCGGCATCTGACTTTTAGTTTTTTTTCAAACTTTATCATACCTGGGATGTCTACTGGACTCTTGTTTGGACAGATTTAGGTGAGTTATTACTAAGAATTACAGGCCTACAATATAAAACAACAAATAATGTACCGCTTTTGGCACAAAATTCCTGACATAATCATACCGCCAGGGAGGTTAACACACGTGTGAAAGAGCCCTTAAAGTAATTTCCAAATGACATATACACACACACACACACACACACATATACACAATATAAGAAATAATATTACTTTTGCTTTCACATTCACCCAAGTCCACAGAAATACTCTCCATATGAAATACATAATCCTTTTCTGTTGGTTGGCATACTTGTTTCACAGATTTTGAATCTAAAATATGTTGTGCCCCTTACAGCTCTAAGTACTGTGTCACCAGCCAAATCACTCTTATTATAATCTGCACCTACAATATTTAAACAATCTAATTACAAACTGTTATGAATTGTTCATTTTAGTCAATACATAGCTTGAAATATTTTATTTAAAGCCAGTGTCAGTAATATTCGGTAATAGAGAACAACATGTGCACTTATAAATCTAATTCACAAATTCACGATTAAATATTCTTTATCTAACAGATATTAAAACATATCTCACCCAAAAAGAAAAATCTAATATATTGCAGTTTACCAGTCCTTAGATGTGGTGGCTGCAGTCGTTTTCTTTTTTAAGCATTTTTTTCACATGGCAATGCTTCCCGTGACACACTTTCTGTCCTAAGTGACAACGCTCATGCAACACCTTCCCTTTTCTCTTCCCCCTGGCATGGGTGGAAGGTGTTCTATAGTCCACAGAGAGAACTGGGAACAAAAATAACTGATAAGTCAGCAGAAGCAGAGAGCACAGGAAATTATTAGCTCACAACCTTTCTGGCGTTATTCACAGCTATTTCTTGCCCATTGAGGGAAACAAGAATGTAGTCATTCTTAGGCATTTGGGGTTATACTGCCACCTATAGGAGGTTTGGACACTGGCAAGCAAAAAAACGTTAAGCCAGCCCCCATATGGCCCCACCTTAAACTGTCATGCCTCGGTTTTTTGCTAGTGTCCTAACAGATTGGACGCTTTTCCTTCGGCTCTTTGAGATAAAGTTTCCCTATATATTTGCTAGCGTCTTTTAATTCCTAAAGTAGACCGTGACCCCCTTTCACTAAATTTGACTCTCGGGCACTGGGATCTGCATTGTGGCACTTCCCAGACCTTGGTGTACTGTGTTAGTTAGGCGTAAAGTGCTCTCAAGGTTCATAGCTGTAACATAGCCTCTGGTGTGACCCAGTTTCTGAAGACTCACGTACTGAGTAGGCCTCTGGTCATGGCAAGAGTAGCCTAGGATGTGACCTGCAGGCACTGGGCTCTGCATTGTGGCACTATTAAAGCTTTTATTTACCATGTTATATAGCCACAAAGTACTCTCCTTGTCCTGATACATGGAACATCCTCTGGTGCGACCCAGTCTCTGAGGATTCTGAGGATGTGAGTAGGGCCCGTCTGGCTGAAGCACTGATAGCTACCTAACAGATGGTACCATAGTGAGCCATTTTAATAGTCTCACCACTGCCATTTTATGGTGGTAACAGTTAAGGCTTAGGGAGCTGAGTGCTGAACTCATCCACAAGGTAGAGCTCCGTGCTCTTACCCACATCTTTCAGCCTAAAGGAAGCATCTTCCCGTTGCTGCTGCTCCTGCAAAACTTTGTGGATCTCCCAGTCCCTGGTCCTGTTCCACTGCCTGCCTACAGTGACTTGGTCGTCTCCTGTGACCTGCAACTCTCTTTAGCATCAACTGCTTAGGTTTGTGAGTCCACACAGTGGCGTAACCAGAGTTATGGGCGCCCGGGGCAGAACATTTTTTTTGGCCCCCCCCCCCATATTATATATCTATGCGATCCGGGCTGGCTGGATCAGGCAGACGCGCCCTCCAATCAGGCACTGTAGAGGGCCGCTCGCAGTGGCCTCGGAGGAGCGAGCGGCCGCCCGATGACAGCCGGGTGAATGTGGCAGAGAGAGGGAGCCAGGGGCTTCGTTTAGCGGGGTCGTGACGGCGCCCCCCCTCAGTCCTGCGCCGGGGTAAGTGCCCCCCCGCACTGAGTCCACGAGGCATGTAGACTACATCCTGGGACCCCTATTACCATTTATCTTCTTTGGAGTCTTCTATAGCTCAACATTGTGAGGCTCAGACCATGTTTGCAGAAGACCTCAAATACCCACTTTGGATTTTTTGTCGGTTTGTGCACCATTAATGGGTCAGTCTTCTTACAGAAGCTCTAAGCTTGTTCTACAGCCATCCCAAAAATTCCGGAGACATTGCATTAGTGTGTCAGCCAAAGAAATTTTCACATTTTCACAGGGGAAGATTAGCAGTGATAGCCCCCATGTTTTCTTAGTATGGGCAATCAGGAAGATTAAACTGAGATACTCTAGTTCTGTGAATAGGAAATGTAGCAACCAGATAAAATGTATATAAATTTATTTAATACTTTATATAAAACAATGACTACATGTGTCACAAAGCAAAATCTCACTTTTCCATGCAATCAGTAACATTATTGATATAACTTATATAATCATACTCTTTCTAGATTTGTACAGTTCTTTATGCGCTTAGGTTGTGGAAAAGCAGTGCCAGATCCTCGGAGTCAGCCAGTGCTACTGCAGTATTCACTGGATGGTGGACTATCATGGAGCCTTCTACAAGAATTTCTCTTCAGTAATTCCAGCAATGTAGGACGATATATTGCACTAGAGATCCCACTGAAAGCTCGCTCCATCTCCACTCGACTACGTTGGTGGCAACCATCTGAGAATGGGCATTTTTACAGCCCATGGGTGATAGATCAAGTAAGAAAGTGTTTCTTTAAATTAAATAGTGTAACTATGGCGTCTTGTAACCATGACAGAATTATGAGTTTTGAAGCTGAATTCCAGGATAAATGATGCAGTGTTGTATTTGCATAGGGTTTACATATACCTAAACTTTTTAGTAGCAAACTTTATTTCCATCCCAGGCAACTGGCAATACAGAGATAATTGAAGGTACTGTTTATGGAGACATTTGGGATCTAAATATAGACCCTGATGTCTCTTATGTATCTCCTCTGCCTCCAGCTAATGCAGATTGGTGTCAGAGCCTTTAATTGCATGCCAGCTGAAGTTCTTTGAGCTGGGTGCACTGGGTTCAAACAATGTAGGGGCACAATATTATCAATCTCCTCTCTTTTTCGGGAGGAGATTGATAATAGATGTGGTCCCGTGCTCATGTATAGTAGGTACCAGGAAGGGGAGGTGGTGGCTTTGTGGATCAGGAGGGGCAGCAGCATTGTGCACTTATGCAGTTGTGATTGGATGACTTTACAGCCTCCCGGGTAACTTTTACTGAACACATGGAAGCTTGCTGATGAATTTTAAAACAAGCTCTTGGCTATTGTTAAAGCTATGAGCTTGTTTGATCACTTTGATTGTCGTGAAGTATAGTATACACTTTGTAATATCTTAGTGATACAATTACAGTGTTTAAAAATAATAATAATAATGATAAATACATTTAAAAAATATTTAGGAGTGTAAATTAGTCACAGTTATAGTCAAGTTAGCTGACGCTGCAAAATTAATTTATACGGCGAGCGAGAGCAAAAATATTAGCAAAAATACATTGCAATGCAAATCAGTGGGATACTGATGAAGTGTTGATGAAGAGTATCTGATAAAGGTATATAAATACTTGGCTTTGCTTTTTGTATTTCAGATTCTTATTGGTGGAAACATATCTGGAAACACAGTGTTAGAGGATGACTTCACAAGTTTAGACAACAGAAAATGGCTTCTTCATCCTGGTGGCACTAAAATGTCAGTGTGCGGTTCTACTGGAGATGCCCTTGTGTTTATTGAGAAGGCCAGCACTCGTTATGTGGTCACCACAGACATTGTGGTCAATGAAGACTCTTTTCTGCAGATCGATTTTGCTGCTTCATGTTCTGTTTCAGACTCTTGTTATGGTAAGAAAATAAATGTTCACATTCACAATTTTGTAATTCCACATAAATCACAAAGCCTCAAATAAAAAGGTCAGGGGATGCAAATGGTTTTCCTCACTTCTCCTGCTCTCTAAACCTGCATTTAGAGTCTTGGCCTCAAGCATGGCATTGACACATTTTTTGGACATTTCTTAAAGGATAGAATTGGATTCGAGACATTTCTGTGGTGATCATATCATTGCTATATATTACAATTATTTTCAACTTCAAGAAGAACTCCAGGAAAAAAATTATTAACCCTTGCATTGGGGCTAACCCCACACTGCAAGGGTTAAGTTTTCGTTTGTGTCTAGGTGGTAAAAAAAAGTTATACACACCAGAACATCCGAGCCGGCTTGTTCTTAGACCAGTGTCTAGAATGTCTCACCCTCTGCTACATGGGTCTATAGATCCTGGTGGCATCACGCTCTATGCACTATGCATAGCCTGTGTATAGATGTGAGGATGCCAGAAGCATCCCATCTGTGCAGACACGTAGACACGCTTCAGTGGAGTAGACAAGCTTCAGTTAGCACCTAGACAACAACAAGCACTTAACCCTTGCAGTGTGGGGGTAGCCTCACTGCCAGGGTTAATACAATTTTTAACCGGAGTTCTGCTTTAATCATTATGATGATTTATTGGTATCACTATTAATACTGCAGTCCATATGCATGTGCATCATTATTGCAGTCACTTTTGTCATTTCAGTTGTTGGTTTCCTTTTAAAAAAAATATTAAAATATTAATATGAAGCTTTTTGGGGAAGGCAGGGATTTCTTACATGGCCTTCAAAATCTTTCCAGCTGTCCAGCCCTATTATACTGTTAGTATGGAAAACCTTTGTAAATATAGCTGAATTTAAGAAGGCTTTTAGACAACCTGGTCTTCACTTGACATGCACATCCACTCTTCAACACATTTTAGGTGATTTCTACTTAACTGCCTGTGAAGCACAGAGTGTGGTGGGCTACCTTTGTAAATTTTAGGGTTTTGTTCATGGGGAGATTGTTGAACAATTGCAGCTCCTTCATTGGTCTCTGCCCATGTGGTTCAGATTTAAATTATTTTTTTTCCCAGGCAGGTGTTATTTAACCACTTGCTGACCAGGTGTTAAACCCCCTTCCTGTCCAGGCCATTCTTCAGTGTTCAGAGCTGAATTAATTTGACTGACATTTATTCAGTCATAAAACGCTGTACTGAAAATTAATTTATTCTATTTTTTGGGGACAGATAGAGCTTTCTTTTGGTGGTATTTAATCACCACTGGGGTTTGAATTTTTACTATATAATGAAAAAAGTTCTGATAATTTTGAAAAAAAAAAACTGTTTTCCCTACTTTATATTATAAAACATTTACCATTACCCATTTTTTGGTAAAATATTAAAGACGGGGTCACGTCGGGTAAATAGACACTAAACATGTCAAACCTTAAAATTGCGTGTGTCCACGAAATCGCAAAAAACTACCATGCTTAAAATTGGCCATAAGCGACATTTTAAAAGCTTTTTTGGGTGTTTTTCATTTTTTTTTTAATAGGAGACTTTACTTTTTTAAAAACTTTTTTTTTTTACATTTAAAACATGTCCTCTTTATGCTATCACATAGGAGGCTAACAATCTCCCTATGGGATAGCACAGGCACACTGACAGGTCCTCTTTATGCAAACATTAGGGCTCTCAGCCAGAGAAATGACAGCTAAAGGTGGAAGTGATGTAATAGACATTGCTTCCGCCTTCAGAGAGAGTCTCAGAGAGAGGAGGAACAGCGGTGGGGGAATGCTGATCTCTCCTCCTTCTCAGCATATGCAGCTGCTGTGCCGGTCCCGGGCTCGCAGGGGGGACCCCAAGATAACCGGCGGAGGGGTGGGAGCGCGGCAATGGAGGGGGGCGCCGAACACTACATGTAGTCATACAAGTGATCGCCCGGCTGTAGGGCCGGCAGAACGCTTGTATGTAACAGCTGGTAACGGCTGTTTAGATTCCCAGCGGGTTTCTGATCGCCCACCACCCACTGGGAAGCATTCGCCGTCTGCCGTTATTTTTACAATGGGCAGACGGCAACTGGTTAAATAATGCAGCCTTTTTTTCTGCTGTCAGTCTGAATTTGGTGCACACTTTTTGTATTTCCATCACAGTAACCTTTGAAGAAAAATTGGCGGACATTTCTTTTTTCCACACTTTATTTAAATTGACAGGCATTTTAAATACTATTTCAACAGTTTCCAATTACAAAATAAAAAAACTCAGATGTATCAAACAGTAGCATACTGCAGTTTTAAAGGAGTTGAATACAATTTGATGAAAGCAGAATGCCATCCTGTATATAGAATAACAAACGAAAAAAGACCAGTAGAGTGATGCAGAGCCTATTATGTTTAAAAGAAATTCATTAGCATGCAGATAAAGAAAACCCATGTGGATGTACCCTTAGACAGCATATATTTGGCTATTTATGTTCTCATTCTAATTAAATGCATTGAAGTCAAACTTACCTTGTCAAAGCCAGTGATCTGAACACATAACCTATATGCTGCTGAATTTAATTGGTGTTTTTACATAGCATTGCCTTTTTCAATTGTGAACGCAAGCAGTTGCACTTGGCCTAATTTCCACATTACAATTATTAGCAATATGCAACCACAGTAAAACCATAGTCATAAAAGTATATTTGGATCAGCATTTTGCACAAATGGCATATGAAATGAAAATGCAAGCACGCATGCTGCTCCTGTCTCAATGCATAATGTGTTTTTTTCTTTACGCAATTAAACTATGTTCCTTAAGTTAGAACTTTTTGAACATTCTTCTTTAGTTTTAGTGATGCAGCAGCAGATTAACTTGCGTGTTTCTGTATTCTCATTCTTTTAGATGTGTCTTATATAAACAAACCCTTATCTGTAACATTCTGGCTTAATAATAATATAATGTATTGACTATTATTTGCAGTAACCTATAGCAGCTAATCACAAGTCAGCTCTTAGAAGTTTAGCATAGCCAGGCTTATCAAAGCTGATATGTCAATTTCTGTAAATTGTTCTTCGTTCTCTATTATTATTTAATAAAGCCCACTGTGGAATAGCTGCCTCAAACCATCTGCATCCTCTTGCTAAATCCAACCTTGTCACTGACATTTAGAGAAAAATTGCTTCCTTCACTGTGAGATGATAACTAGCAAACAATATGTGTGTAATCTCCATTTATTATCATTATTGTCATTGAAGCAAAACACTAAATATGTTTTTTGCTACACTTTTGCGTCACTGTTGGTTTAGTTTAACCTATGTTATGTATTAATTACAGATGAGTAAATTCGTTTGCCACATTAAAGATTCTTTTAACTTTTTATCACCCAGTGCCGTAAAGTCACATACGATATTTGTTAAATTGGAACTCTATTCACTTTATATCAGTCTCTTACAGCTGTACAGCTGTATTCATAATGGCAAAGGGAGGGGGTGCACGTTAAGTTTGTAAAGTCTACTCAGGGCTGGATGTATACTTCCTTTCCCTCTAGTAAACTGGCTAGCTATACCGTAGTATCTTACTAATAGGGTGAGATATCATAGTCGCACAAGACACAAGGAGCATTCAGCTGCATTGCAGTTGCAGGCAGGATGGCACTCTGGAACCTATAATACAGAGAAAATTGTTGATGATGTGAGGGTGGGTGTTTGCTGCCCCCTGGAAGCCCTGCTACCCTGTGACATGGTCTTGCTTGGCTGTGTTGGCAATGCTGTCTGAGACAATCTTGTTGGACAGGTCAGCAGAGGGCTTCCATCTATATACTGTATAATGTAGGCTGCAGCCACAACATTGATATATATTTTTAGTGTTGATTGTGCTGCAAGCTTCAGTGTCTCAGTCAGAAGCTCAATCTCATAAATAATATAGGGGTCTAAATTACAAATGCACAGGACACAGGAGATGAAAAGGCCCAGTCCAAACAAGCATACAGTTTGAGAGTCGAGGGAAGACAAGATTTAGTAGGGATATAGTAGGTAAGGGAGATGGAAGTGACTGGAGGGGATGGAAACTGGTTACGAATTACAAGGTTTACAACATGAGGTGACCCAAGGGTTTTAGGGCCGTCTTTAATATTGATTGGTCCCTGGAAAACATTTTCTTGGACCACCACCCCTGCCCACCATGCCCAGCCTCCCGCACCCACAGCCATGCCCCTCTACACCACACTCCCTACCTGCCACACCCGCCATGCAATCTTGTGACCCCACATGAGACCTGACCCTGCGTGAGACACCACGCTACATGGCGTATGGCAGGGGCGGAGCAAACACTATGTGATGCCGATCGAATAGTAAACAGAATGGTGTGGCATGTGTATCTTTTTGTGGGATCAAGGGGCAGCTGCTTTGGGTGCCACAGCAATGACTGGGCCCGGGGCAACTGCCCCTTTTGCTCTATGTTAAAGACAGCCCTGGGGGGACTTAAATGTATGGCTGAAAAGAGGAATAAAAGTAGATGGGATGGTTTATGTAGTTGTAGTTTGGGATACTGAGACGTCTCCTCTGGGGAGTCAAATGTAGCACAGAGGCCACATGAATTAGGCCTCCTGCACACAGGCACAAATACAGGTGTATAGGCAAACAGCATAAAATATGCCTCTATTTGCAGGGTCTAAGTTCCTGAACTTGAAAGTTTCACATTTCATGTAAATGCCGATAAACTAAAGTAGAGAGTCATGCTGACAGAGTTTTACCTTATAGTCAAACAAATAGTTCTTCCAGATTGTCATTCAGCCGCTTGTGAAGCTCACTTCATGTTCTGTCAGACACACGTCAAGATATACAGGAAGTAAGGAGAAATCTCTCACGTGGGAACAGAGACGGCAATAAAAAAAACTGGCAGAGGCCCTAACCCATCTGCAACTAAAAAAAAGTTCCTGGAATTGGTGCAAGCAGTACTGTGGGTAGGTCAGAGGACAGCATGTATGGAGGCCTTTACTTCTATTATACAGTGCTGGCTTCAGGAGTCAGTATCAACCTTTTAGGATTCTTTGCTGCTGCTGAAAATGTTGGGGAATTTAACTGAGGACTTTTTTTATAATCCCTTCAAAAAATAGCCATATAAAATGCTATAGTGGTAAAATTTAGCAACTGGAGCGGTTTTTTTTCTACACAAAATGGATGTTCTCCACAAAATCTCCACAAAATGGATGATGGATTGGGTAAATTGGCAGCAGAGCCGGTTTAAGACATCTCTTTTGGAATGTCTACTGATGTTTGTTGAGTATTTGGTCCAACAAGTGTATTATTATTATTATTAATGTAATATATTCAAAACATATACCAACATTTATGTGAATAATCATAATTGTATGAGGTTTATATGATAATATGATTTCTGCTTACATTTTAGCCATTGACCTGGAATTCTCTTTGGATCTGGGGCTCACATGGAATCATGTATTAAAAGATTGCCTGACAAACAATGTGGAATGTTATAAGTACCAACTACAGAGAGTGCTGGTGTCTGACACGTTTAACAAATGGACCAGATTTACATTGCCTCTGCCTCCATACACCAGGTAAAAATGTAGAGCTGTTATTTGTAATGGCATTGGACTGTGTAGCTGAGGGCACTTATTAACTCAATTTTATACTTCTAGTAAGATTTATGGTGATGTCAGCCAAAAGTTCTAATTTTGCAATGAAAATTCCTTTCCGTTTAGTAATTTACTGTATGCAATTGGATTGTATTTTTTGTTCGGGAGGGGTTGGATGCAGAAGGTAGCTCGGGACTACAGGCTATATATAGGGGTTTTGGAAACCCATGGGGCCAAGGGACATGATGCCAGAATCATAAGGATCATAGTGGAAATTCCAGGCAGTACAGGGACAGAAATCTGAGCACAATGTAAACATGCAGGAAAGCAGATACAGAATCAGGTAAGACAGACAATAATAAATCACATCATCAACTAGTGCTAATGGCTCTCACTGGGGTGCAGGAACCAGGAGCATCTGGTCTTCATGAGAACCATTGAAGGTACAGATGGAGTTGTGTGCCAAACAGCCCTGACAGGAAAAATACACCAGATTCAAGACATTAAAGAGGAAAATACACCAGTCTTGTGACAGTGAGGAAATTATAAAAGCTCTGTCAGGTTTTTATTGCTGTCTGGTCTCCCTATGGAGGGATGTCCTTTCACTTCCTGATCTGTACTACACCTGTCACTGAGAATAATAGCTGGCAAGACTCAACCTATGCTAAGTGAAATTATATTGATACAATGTGCATATAATGTAGGTACCCTGTTTTATAGAAAAAAAGAACTGCTGTTGAAAATGTAGAGCTCTTTCAACCCTTTTGATTTCCCATGTTTGGTCAGGAGATACTTCTTAGTACATGGGCTGGCTGTCACAAGCGAAATCTGGTTACACTTCTTGGAAATATAAAGGCATAGATTGGCAAACTGAGATACAATAGGGTTTTTTGTTCTTCAACATTAACATTATTTTCGTGCTTTCTTTCTATAAAGAGGCATAGAAGTAACCATCTGTCTAGATTAAACATATATACTTGCTATGTCATCTTAGAGTGATGTTTTCCCAAACCATGTAAGTATTTTAGGGGTTATTTTAGTATTTGGTATGATAGATTTGAAAAGTAGCTCACACACATTGCAATATGGTTGTACAATTTAGTTTAGATGTAAATTGTAAATGGTGAAGAGAATGTTCAATCAGACTATAATGTGTATGACCTGCTTTAGTTAAAATGGATATATGGAAATATTAAAGCGACACTAAATTCTGGAGTTAAATCTTAAAAATGCATTAAATTACCTTAACTATTAATAAAAATGCATCTTATTTGTGTATCATTCAGCTGTAGATCCTCAAATCATCTCTGAATTGGTGCTGACACTGTCCTTACTTCTGGAGGGTGGCTACTTTTGTTCTCCATGGTCCCTGTGTGTGTTGTAAAGTAGCCATCGCTCCAAGCTTCCCCCTGTGATAGACTATAACTTCAATACAACTTAGTTCATAAAACATGAGATTGTAGTCCATCACAGGAGTGAGCTTGGAGCGGTGACTACTTTACAACACACACAAGGATCATGGGGAACAAAAAGTAAAGTTTGTATGACAATAAGTGCACTCAGCAATGGGAATTGTGGAGGGGAAAAATGGCAGTCCTGGATTCAGTAAGTCCAAACAGTACTAGGTGTGCAGCTCACCTACAATCAGGTAGAGGTGTCCTGTAACTGTGCTGAAAAATAAAAAAGAAGAGAGCACACCCACCTAGCGCAATAAATGTGATTACAAGGAGGGGAAAATGAAGTAAACTATGTTGCACTCACATCAGTGAAGAAAGTACAAAAGTATCAATCATCAGGGATGTAATCTCGTTCTGAAAAATCACTCAATAGAAAGGCTCTCAAGTCAGGGGCAGTTGATACTCAGGGATATGGCTGATCAGACAGGGAGAAAAAACATAAGAGATGACCATGTGCTGATGGTGTAAATCTGTGGAACATTTATTGGAATAAAAAAGGAATTGCACTCACAGTGTGTGCCTGGAAAAAAGTTTCCTAAGGTGCTTGATGGAAGCAGATACCGCAGTTCTTGTGGTCCAATGTTCCTGGGTTCGATTTCTTGCAGCCTCAGCGTGTTGGTGCGGAGGATCACAAGGTTCTTCTGTGTCTGGGAAGCGGGTAAACGAGAGGTGAAGGGGACGCTGTATGAGCTGGCTGGAGAATGGTGCTGGTTAGATGACAGCTGAGAGGACGGAAGAAGTAAAGATTTGCTGGAGGAGCGGGGAGAAGAAAAGTTGCAGGATGGGCCGACTGGAACACGGTTCCGGTTCTTGACTAAGTCCACACTGGATGGATGCTGAGGGAATGGAACAAGGCAGAGAGAAATTAAAATGTTGATATAATAATCTGTATATCTTACTCTTATTTAATCCAGTAGCAGTGTGTTTAATTTAAATATCCAATACATTTTCTGCCTACACAGTCACTGGAACCGTTCAGATGAGGGTTAGTGATCTGCAATGCGCTCAATGGCAAATACATGTAATTTTTCAATCTTTTTATTATGTTTGAGAGCAAAATGATAGGGAACACTGTGATCTAACACTCCTTTTTCAATAAACATTCTGTGGTCCCCTATTCTTTTTCTGAGATGGCAGGTAGTGTGCCCTATGTATAGCATCCCACAGGGGCACTTGAGGCCGTAAATGATGTGGTCATGTGAACAAGTAATAGACTGTATAATGGTATACAAGTTGTTAGAATGGTCGCTAAAGGTAGACTGGCCATGATGAATAAATTGGCATGTCAAACATTTTGGCTTCTTACCTCTGAAAATTCCTTTCCTGTTATCTACAAGAAAATGTTCAGACACCTCTGGACTTGGTTTTGTCAGTTTACAAAGGGCTATAATGTTTTTAATGCTTCTAGGCTTCTCGAACATGACGGATGGCTTAGGTGGGAGAATAAGGTACTTTTTGGGGTCATTGAGTAGGATGTGCCAATTTTTTTGTATTGCCCCTTGGCTGCGGTTATATGTGGTGATAAATCGCACATTCCCAGGTCCTGACACTCTCACACTTTTTCCTCTTTTTGGGATCTTTGTTACTAAGTAACTGAGAATAAGCCTTCTGTACCAAGCTATCAGGGTATCCCTTTTCTTTAAATTTTTGCTTAAGATGGGAACTAAGGGGGTTATTCACAAAGCTAGCTGAAGGATCAGCCGTAGCTTCGGCTGATCCTTTGGCTAGCTTCGGTTGTGGGAGCCCTTCGGTTCAGTCGAGCTGAAGGGCTGCTGTACAGGCTATTCACTATAGCCCGTACAGCTTCCGAAGGTGGCCGAGCGGCTCAGCTGAGCCGAAGGCATATGCTTCGGCTCGACTGAGCTGAAGTGACAGCCAAAGCGGGGCGAACGTGCGGCTGAAGGCTGGCCTGAACAACTCGCAGATGACAACTGGGCTGAGCCAGCCGTGATCTCACAGCTGGCTCCGCCCAGTTGTAAGACAGATCAGCATCCCGCTGAACTCTCATTAAACAATGACAACTGTGCGGAGCCGGCTGTGACGTCCCGGCGGGCTCCACCCAGTTGTTATTCATTGGCCGGGACCTGCTAGAAGACTCTAGCAGGTCCCGGCCAATAAGAAACAGTTGGGCAGAGCTAGCTGTCACTGCTAGCTCAGCCCAATTGTTATTTTTTCCTTGCTCGGCGGCATTCCGCTATTCACTTACTGCCATTCGGCCCCTATATGAATAGGAGCGAACGGCGGTGAGTGAGCTGCCGGAGCTTCGGCTCAAACAATCCAGATGTTGGATCGGCCGAGTCGAAGTCCTTCTGCACTTTGGCTCAGCCGAACATGGAGAGCATGTTCGGTTGACCGAATGCAGCCTATCTACGGCTGATTTCAGCCGATGTATGGCTGAAATAAGCCATATTGAGCCGAAGTGAATAGCTGGACATTGTCCGGCTCACTTCACTGCGGCTTGGTTATTCACTTGGCTGCCTCCGGCAGCTTATTGAGTAACCCGCCCAGTTATTAGACAGACCAGCATCCCCAAATGTAGTCATCGACTTCTGTACAATTTTTCTTCACTCTACAGAACTGTCCTTTTGGGACATTACGTTTCCATCATGGATGATGACAGCTATTTAAATGGAGATAAGAATTCCCTCCTGTGGGTTTAAAATGTTTTTTTTTTTAATTATTGGTTCCCTTTGTGTGAAAGTTCATGATCAAGAAATATCAAGGTATCAGAATCGATGACATGAGTGAAAGTCAAACCTGATGAGTTGTTGTTGCAGTGGAAAATAAACTCAGGGATGGTTTCCGGTGGCTCGTCCCAGATGATGATGATATCATTAATATATCACTCAAAGAAAACAGGATGTTTAGCAAATGGGATTGTTGTTCCAGATATGGAAGTGTTCCCAATGTCCCATAGTCAAATTGGCATAGCTGGGAGCGTAATTGGCTTGCATAGCTGTGCCTCGGATTTGTAAATAAAAATTATTTTAAAAATAAAAATAATTATGTTCTAGGGTGAATTTGGCACACTTGGTGATGAAGCATGCTTGTTTGTGATTCAGTGCTGGAGTTTGGGATAAGAAGTAGTGTAATGCATTGAGGCCCACTGTGTGTGGGATGGAAGTATATAAAGAGTTGATGTCCAAAGACACCCAATGATAGGATGAATCCCATGAATACTGCATGAGTATCTGAATGAGATGACCAGAATCCTTAATGTACGAGGGAAGTGCTGTGACAAGAGGTTGCAGAAAATAATCAATGTAAAGGGATAAACCACTGCAGAGGCTGTTTATACTAGAAATAATGGAACAACCTGGGGTTGGGTACTAAGTTTGTGAATTTTTGGTAGGTGATAAAAATATAGGGTACTGAGACAGTCAGGACACAAGAAGCCTTTCTCTTTTTTGGATACAACACCTTCTCAGAAGGCATCTTCCTTTAGGATTTGTAGATCTTTAGTGAAGTCATAAACGGGTCCATAGGGAGTTTCTTCTAAGTGGAACTATCCGATAATAGTCTGTA